AATTAAACTGTGCAATACTCAAATCTATATTTTCTACTGTTTAGTTTCATAAGTAGAGTATATGTACAAGTAATCTTAATTTTTAAGATTTCACATACGCTTTTATTTCTTTTCTTAAATGTGAGCAATGGTGACATGACCAAATTTAAACCTGGGATCAATAAATTATATCTATTATGCAATTTATTTTCCACATTCACAGTGTCATTACATGGACATTTATCAACTTTATCATAGAAGGCTTTAATAAAATAAAGCTAACAGACATAGGCGTCGATTTCGGGGATGCGGTGATTTCGTACCACCAGATTTCGTCATGAGTCATTTTGCACCCACCACTTTTAACTCCCGTCCATATTAATTTGACTTTTGGTTCGATTTTTTGGACCGTTTTCAGTGGTTATGAGGAGCAATATGAGAGAGAAATTTGGCAATCATTGTCTGACCCAGCAAAAAAAACAACACTATAATACATTTTTTATTGATTTTTCTGTTCGCATTTATGAGGGAAAAAACAACGTGTCAGTTCTCGTTTACGGACGTGAGCGTTCTGAAAGCGGCACTAAAAGACTTCTTTAAAACTTTCACAGAGACCTCAAACAGAACAGCTGCCTTTCTTTACATTTATTTTCGTTTTATATTAATTATATCTTAATTTTAATCAATGTTTCATGAACCAATTGTCTGGATTTATTTAATAAATAAGAAGTAAATATAGCAGAATCACGACATGGAGGCGCCGGCGAGTGAATTGGAGTTCGTCTCATAAATTAACCGAAACTCGGCGTATAATGCACATTCACATTCACAGCGTATTAGACGCATTTATTATCATTACTTTTACCGGTTCTTTGTGGCAAGCTTTATGCGTGCGGTCGTGCGCTTGAGCACAAATTATGAGCTTTTGGCAATTTTTTTTTTATAATTATTGACAAAATTAGAATATAGTAAAAGGATTTTTTTGTGTGTGTGAAAGTTTTGGGTGGGCCTGTTGAAAAGTGGGGCCGTGCCTGAGCTACAGGACATCGTCTTTGAAAACATAACCTGCGCGAAAGAGAGAAAAAAAATTAATACGTCATTGTACCCAGCACTTCTGAAAATGCACTGAAAATGCACTTCCGAATGCGTCTCTGTCCCCAGCACATTTCAAACCAAACTGACGCCCATGATAACAAAGATAGATTTACAGGTGACACTGCAATGACTACCCTTTTAAATTGCTAATTTAACCCTTTACACTTTTTTTTTTTTACATCAGCAGGGTTCACTTGGAATGCTCCGAATGCAATGGGCAAACACGGTCCTCAAGGGTCAATGCCCTCTGCCCTGCAGAGTTCAGCTTCATTTCATTTTTTCTAAATGTAATAAATTTTCAGTGAAATCAATTCTGATTTAAAATAGTAATATGTTAACAAACTAACCCACAGTACCTTTTATCATGCAGATGATTTGTATGAATTTATGATCACAAGCTTGGATGTGTTCTGTCAGCTTGAGGAAGGTAAAGTAAGTGGGGAACTGAAAAAAAAAACCGAGTTGGCTTTATAGCAGTCTCATTTCAGTAAACTGCTGGTTAGGTATGAAATATGCCACATGGTGTCCGTAAGAGACTTGGTGAAAATATGTTGGAAATTTGAGAGTAACCTGTTTATTTGTCACCCCAACAACTCAGTTATTAACAAGGATTGAATGGTTGTACTTAGTTGTGGGTGTATTAGTGTGTGGTTTTCCATAGAAACAGAAAATGCAGAGTAAATATTCTAACATTAAATATTAGAGACAACACACTGACAACATACATTATTATACTTCATCTCATTAAACAACAAATTAAACCCCATGTAGCCTACTATTTAAATCGATTGCTGGACGTCGTAATGTTATTGTAGCATAAATCTGATTTAGCATTTTATTAGCAACCCCCACCCCACCTGTTCCACCCACTTTTTAAAACAAAGTTACGTCACTGATTTTTATGTTTATATGTTTACTTAAATGTTATATGGTGTTTTACCAAAGTGTCTAATCATTTTTACAGATAAATTGCTTTAATACCAATTACCAAGGTGACCTGTAAAATACTTCTGCTGTCAGGAAAGCCAAATCAAGTTCTTATACCTGTCCTGACCTGAGCACAAGCTCTCATTCTAATCCTGAAAGCCTTAAATAACATATTTAAATACTTTAAGTCATTAAATTCCTTTAAATTGATAATATCACCTGTATACCTAATTACAGTTTGTCTGAGTGCCCAATTTCAGAACAAAAAGGTTTGAAAAAGCGCCCCCTGCTTGCTATAGCTGTAAATGTAAGCACAACAAAAGCTCACGTTGTTTTCCAAAGACAGATATTGATTACAGTGGTCTGTATCTTAAACCTGCAGTGATCATAAACCTGCATTGGTTACCTCCACTGTAACTGATTTCCCCACACACGTTAATGCTTTGATGTTAAAGCTAGAATGTCCACTAATGTGTTTATTTACAAAAAGGCATGAGTGGAGAAAAACAAGTTAATTTTATTTTTATCTAAATTGTCATAAAATTAATTGTCATAAAACTGCTATTTAAATATATTATTCATATAGGTTATACAAAAAACCTGAATAAGCTGATCTATAGAATGTAAACTGGTGGTAGCCTAGTCTATGAAAGGTACACCCCTCTAAGCTCACACAAATGGTTAGACCCAAGTCTTCAGCAGCCAATGACACGGACCCGTTCATACTGATTTTTAACGCGTATTTCACGCGTATTTTACGTGTAAAATACACGTGAAATACGCGTATTTTACACGTGAAATACGCGTTGATTATGTCACGCGTATTTCACGCGTATTTTACGTGTATTTTACACGTGAAATACGCGTGAAATACGCGTGACATAATCAACGCGTATTTCACGCGTAAAATACACGTATTTTACGCGTGAAATACGCGTGAAATACGCGTTAAAATTCGCGTGTTTTTGGCCCTAACGGCTTTCCATAGACTCGCGCTCGTGCGGACGCGTCGAGTATAAACAAGGCTTAACGAGACAAGCAAATTATACTTTGTACACAAAAATGTGTCAAAATGACCGGCTTGGAGATTCACTTAAACAGTTTATGACTAAAATGGACGTAGTTATCGTGCATCGTAGTTATGGTGCATTAAAATATAGTGCATCAGACTATTAGATCTGCACTCGTTCTTAAAGGGGAAGCCGTCTAATAAACATGCTACGTCCATTTTAGTATTTACTCCGAATCAAACAACAAAAGGCAAAAAGAAAATCACTCACAGCTCTTGAATGAATAACTTTAGCTTTAATAAGCATAAGTAACAGTGATGGAGATGAGGAGAGAGCAGGTATTGACAGATAATCTACTACACGCTGACATTTTTTTTTTTTTGCATTTCTCCAGGGGCTCTCTCTTAATTCCTCCATTTGCTGTCCTAATGTATACAATAAATACAGTTTAATGGAAAAGTGCTTTTCCTTATATTTCTTTCAGGGCCAGTAAAAATATAAAAGGGGCCAGCAAAACTCGGATCTACTGGCCCCGAGGGCCAGTGGGGAATTTTTTTTATGTTGAGCCCTGCTGCCTGGGTCCAGTTGTTTCTATGAATTGCAGCGATCCATTTGCTTCTCTGTTCTGTAGCTTTCGGCAGTCTGTAAAAATATACCTCAGATTTCTTGTCAAATCTATTTAGATAGTCAATCTCAAAGCTCGTTCCTGTTTTAGATGTGTTTTGTGTGTTTTTCATGGTATTCACGCTGAAAACCAATGCAGCCGCTCAGTTTTTTGCCACTCAGTGGGCGTAAATACAGTCACTCGGACTGACGTTGACGTCACGCGCATATTCATCACCTCGTGGCTCACGAAAGCTATCTTTTTAGCCATTGAAAGGAATAGTTCACCCAAAAATGAAAATTATCCCATAATTTACTCAATCTCAAGCTGCCTTCTTTCAGCCGAACACAATCAGAGTTATGTGAAATAATATCCTGGCTCTTCCCAGCTTTGAAATGGTATTGAATAGTGCCCGACTTTTTGAAGCTCCAAAAAGCACAGCGCATCCATCGGCCGTACGTGTTCACAAGAGAGCTATGTGGTTTTCGAGAGGGGAGTCTATTCTCACCCAAGCTTACGCCTACGTCCACGTCATACTTGAATCTTTCGTGAACGCGGTTATGGCCGTTGCTGGAACCCAGTGATTATAGTTTATAAAGTTTTAAATATGGATATTTTTCTATATGTATTAACCCACTGGAGTCGTATGGATTACTTTTATGATGGATGGGTGCACTTTTTGGAGCTTGAAAAGTCGGCACTATTCAATGGCATTACAAATGGGGTGTGAATCTTCACTGGTTGCGTGATTCAATTCGTTTACAATTATCATGTCTTTGATTCGATATAACGATGCGTTGCATCCTCAATTTTGAATATTGTCAATGAATACAAGCAGTCAGATATATGAACTCCCTTTTTATTTCATCTGCTCCAAGAAAGTACACTTCCTGAATGTAGCAAACATCAAACAAAATTTAAGTCTGAACACAGACGAGACAAGCGCGTATGCGAAGGACGTAAGAGAAACATCAGTAGGCTATAATCAATTGTGGTCTATTACGGCATCGATGCAGAATCGTCCACGTTGGCATCACAATGCATTGTAGAAACGGTTAATTTCAACACCCCTAATTACAAAGCTGGGAAGAGTAAGGATATTATTTCATATACTGTAATTCCGATTGTGTTTGGCTGAAAGAAGAAAATCATAAATATCTAGGATGGCTTGAAGGTGAGTAAATTATGGGATCATTTTAATTTTTGGCATTTTCCTTTAAAGGACGTTTTAAATGTCATCCTCATGTTCCATACTTGTATGCTGTTATTTTTTGCAAGAATCTTCTCATTCCTTTAAGTTAGAGCGTGTGAATGAGTTCTCCCAATGTCTTACCCTGTTGTTTTTCTCTGTGTTCCTGTTCTGTCCATCTGTCCTGTTTTATCAGGCTCAGACGGAGCACCCTGGAGATTCCGCCCACTCCCACAGATGGACGTCTCTAGAACTGGTCAAAGGCACTTACAGCACTGACGACTCCCCCAGTGACATCGCTGAGATCCGTCTGGACAAAGCTGTTCCTCTGAAGGTGCTGCGAATTTTACACATGAATCACGCAAAGAATAAACTTCACTTCGGCACAAACTCACTTCCACCCTGTTGCTCTTGCAGGAGAGTGTGAAATATGCTGTCCGCCTGCGTAACTACGGCAGTCGCACAGCCAATGGGGATGGAGGCATAACAACCGTACAGTGCTCTGATGGAGTCGCGTTCACCTTCAGCACCTGCAGCCTGAGCAGCAATGGCACCAACCAGACCAGAGGCCAGATCCCTCAGATTCTCTATTATAGGTCCGTACTATATATTCTTTCATCTGCGAACAAAATTCCTTCTTATTTCTAAAGGATGCAACATCTTTTTGGTGATTGTTTGTTACAGGAGTGAATATGATGGCGACCTGCAATCACAGCTGTTAAGCAAAGCCAATGAAGAGGACAAGAACTGCAGCCGTGCTCTTTCTGTAGTCAGCGTGGTGGTGCGGGCGGCCAAAGACCTCCTCCACAGGGCCTTTGCTGTGGACGGTGAGCGACATTTTCTTAGGTTTCCCCAAATACTTTCCCGTCTGCCATTGGTTGCACAAAAACTTAGTTCTAGCCCACCCTCACGCCATTTGTTGAAATAATTTTAGTATAAGATATAATAAGAAATAAGATATTTCTTATTATAGATAAGATTATATGATACAGATTAGTACACATATCATTAAGCTAATGCAAAAAAAAATTTCGTTCTCATAACCGCGGTGTACATAAACATTATTTATTGATCATGGTAACATTAATGGAAACCTCTCATGCGATTCATCATTAAGAATAATGGGAATTAAAAAAAATCTAAAGTGACCTGCATTACGGTATGAGAATTGGAGGGAAATGTGCCTAATTGTCATAAATAGGTCTTTATAGGCTACATATATAGGGTTGTTTTTGTGAGATTTACCCTTATAGATCAGCATCATTACTATTAGTCTGTGATGTTACTGATGTCTCTACAGTTGAAGACATTCCTGAACTCCTGAGTTCCTGCAGTCTCTTTTCGATGCTGCTTCCACTCATTTTGGCATACATCGGTCCTGTGGCTGCATCTGTTCCTAAGGTAAGGGAGTTTTTCTTCGTCTAATTGGCAACCTTGGGTCTTGATGTTACTATGATCAGTCTCCTAGCCAGTCTCCTCTACAGTAGTCTATTAGCTTTCTTGTTTACTTTTCTCATGATACCTTCGCTTAACTGTTTTAAATTTAATAATTTTCTCTTAGGCTGCAGTGGAGGTGTTTGGTTTGGTTCAGGAACTTCTTCCGGCTGTTTCTGCCCTGAACCAGAAATATGCACCGCCTGCCTTCAATCCTAACCAATCCACAGACAGCACCACTGGGAACCAGCCGGAGCAGGGCCTATCAGCTTGCACCACCTCTAATCATTATGCTGTCATAGAGAGCGATCACCCCTACAAGCAGGCTGGTGTCACCCAGTACAAGGTACAACATTAGTGTTCACTTCCTGATATTCAGCATTACCCTGACAACTGCCCTGAACATCTTTGCAACCATCTAGCAACTGTCTGCAAACACTTAAAACACTGTAGCAATGCTCTAGGAAACACTCATAACACTTTAGAAACTGTTTACAGGATGTGACATTAATGTTGGGCTGAACGATTAATCAAAATAAAAGGAAAATCACAATGACTTCGATTTAATTAAAGAAATTATGCACTTACCCTTTAAATAGCATATAAATAGCAAAGCTGCCCACTGTTACCAAATGAAATGTCGGCTCAGGAAGGGTTAACGACTGTGAAGCTTTGGGGATGTTGATGGACTCGATCTACAGTTGTACTACTATTAATTGTTGTGAATCCGATCCAGACATAGTCAAACGCGATTTTCTCAGTTCAGAATGTTGTTGTTTTTTAATGACACTTACCCACATTCAAATGTTATTCAGAAAAAGAATGCATGAAGCTAGAATATAACTATTTTTTTGTTTAAAAGCAGAGGGTCTGTTCTTTCTTCTGATATATGGCATGTTCAGATATTCATACAACAAAATATCCTGGGAGCCATGAAACTTTTGTGAAAATGATCAAAAATGCTGGAGGTTGCTGGCAACTTTCTTAAAAAATGCGGGTGGGGAAAGAGTTAACAGATACTTGTAAGAGAGACTATATTACTCTTGTCTTGGTTTCCTTACATTGGCTGCCGATTCGTTATAGAGTTAGTTTTATACTTTTGGTTTTTGGTAGCTCCTAAACTTTTAAATGATTTACCTTTTTTACCTCAGATTTGCACCACTTTAAGTACTTGTCATGCAAGTTTAAGAATATCTCTTTGCCCTAGCATTTGATACAGCAGGGTAATCATAATAATATAATCATAATTGGTTGTGTATTCCATCTGTGGGGGTTATTTTGTTATCTGTGGTTTTATGATGTTTTTTTTATGGTTATGGTTGTCCTTGAATGTGGTTCTTAAAATGTACAGCACTTTAGTCAGCGGACTGTTGTTTAAATGGTGCTTAACAATAGAATATAAATTGTATTGGATTTGTGTTTTTGCACTTAAAGGTGCAATGGGGGATTCTCTACAGATTTTTTTTTAAATACATATCATCTGTTGAAGGCATAGGACCAAAAAAAAATTCGTTCAGAGCTTGTTTTTTCTTGTTACAAATTGAGATGCAGTATGACTCCATAAGAGTGCTTAATCACATTTCCATGCTCTGGATTTCAGGTTTCCTTCCCAGACTGCGTTCGCTGGATAACCGTTGAGTTTGATCCTCAGTGTGGCACGGCACAGCCAGAAGATGTCCTCCGTCTCCTCATCCCCAGCCGATCGATGCACTTCTCTGGGCTCGGCTCCAAAGCTCTGGCTCACGAGACCATCAACAGCTGGACCGAGCTCAAGAAGTTCTCTGGCTCCAATGGCTGGCCCACCTCTGTCTTGGTGCTGCCAGGTAACAGTGATGTCTTTGTCCACCACGCTTTAGAAATATTTACTTTATACCCTCCTGCTGATTAAGGTGCTGTGACAGTATTTGTTGTTGATCTTTAGTAATTAAAGACATTTATTGAGATGTTAACTTAACACCACTTCCAGGCCCTTGAGTGAGAGTTTATACGCTGTCAACAGATAAATCTTTTATATGCGGTCCCACAGAGGGTTTATAAACATCACATCTCAACAGGAAGATTGTGTGGTTGTTTTTTTTACAGAATATTATCTCTATGAGGACTGTAATTATATGGGCAGCTGCTATTTTATTACTATTCAAAATGAGTTATGCTACACTGGCTCAGTCATTAACTCATTTCCATTTCCTAATGTAAGGTAACGAAGCCCACTTCTCCTTGGAAACTGCATCAGATTACGTGAAAGATGAGAAAGCCTGTTTCTACGGATTCAAATGTGTAGCTGTCGGTTATGAGTTTAACCCTGGTGTTGATGAGGTATGAAATTTCTCCTTGCCAAACAATATGGATGTGTCTTAAACCTGAGCACAATGCATGAAATGTTCGAGGAGCCCATTTTGTCTCACTTGTAAAACAATTGTCCGTGCACACATAATAATTTGCATGTCGTCATTTATAGCAATATTTAAAACATGAACAATATTAAACATGAACAGCTCTGTTGTTCAAACAAGCATATAGGGCTGGGTTGAACACATTGATTTCTCGATTTCAATCGTTTCTCATTTTGATTAAGCAAAATGAATCCATATTTTAGTCTATGCTGTTTTCTGAACAAAACTTGACTAAACATTTTTTACAGCATATCTCCCATTCCAAAAATCGCAATAAGCTTAGTGCTCTATTACTTTTGATATGGAACAAAGTCTGAGCTTTCATATTCTGTGTATTTTAATTTGAAATTCAAACAATAAATGTAACAATAAACAATAATAAACAGTTTTAGCGCTATTTCATGTGGCGTGACAGATCTCTGTAGCGCCTCAGTTCAAGCAAAGCGGCAGTGCTCTTCGTCTTTATTACTTGTTAAAATAATAAACTAGGCTACTAGCACAAAATAAACAGGAATGAACATCAGCAGGTATGTTGAAATATATAATTTTGTATTTTTGTATGAAATATATTTTTGTCTTACCCTGTTCTTCAATATTTATTGCATGTTTGAATAAATTTGTCATGAAAACAAGTTTTTATGACAGCCACCGTTTACATGTTTATAATTGAAAAACGTATTGGAGCAGAAACATTGTCATTAAAAGAGTTTTTATATAACTTTTATTATAAAAACTGCTTTATGTGCAAATGAAGTGTTTGTATACAAATTGATAATTTTAAACATTAATATTATTGTAATGTAGCAACTTACATGGTTCCATGGAATTAGTATTAGTACTGTACCTGATATATATCCAAATGAATCGGCATTGAATCGAATTGCAAGCTTGTGAATGGAAATCAAATACCCCAATCGATACCCAGCCCTAGAAGCATGTTTATTGAACTGTGGGTGAGAACCTTTTCAGCTTAAATAAAAATAATTGTATGTCTACCACTGCTAGTGTCTCAGTTATGCATTGCTTTAGACCAGAGAAAGGATTAGAGATTCATACTTAACATGTATTTGAGATATTTGTCATGTTGCTGTGGTTTCAGGGAATTATTCAGCTGGAGAAGGAACTGGCCTATTTAGGGAGCATGTGTGCAGCTGCACTCATGAAAAAGGATCTTGCCCTACCCATAGGTGAGAATGACTGCTGCTTACCGGTGTTGGAAAAGATACATAAAAACTGGAATGTGCCATGCAGTACAATCTGAAGTCGCTAACTACAGTGGGTGATACTTAAAGGGCAATATCGTTTTAAAACTTTCTATTCATCCAAAAATCCTGAAAAAAAGTGCATCACGGTTTCCACAATTGTTTTCAACATTGATAATAATAATCATTTTAATTTAAGAACCTTTTTTAAATTATTTAATTTATGTGAATCTTCTGAATGAATTGATTCATTAGAATGAACCAACTTTTTAAAGCTACAGGGTGTTTGATTATTGCCGCTTACCCCAAGGCATAATACAATTTGACATTTAAACAGCAATATTGTGTTTTTTCATGATATACTGATACTTCTAAGTGTGATCCTAAAAAATCTTAGTCTTAAAAAATGTAGCTTATTACTGTAAAGGCTGCACTGATTGAAACATTTTACCTGCTGTTACTCTAACTTAGTATCTCCCCAACACTATTACTTTTATTGGTGGCACTGATAAAGTCATAAGAACGTCTTTTGTCTTTTTTATCTGATCGTATGTATTATTTATCATCCTACAGGGAATGAACTAGAGGAAGATTTGGAGATTTTAGAGGAAGCCTCACTCCAGGTACTAAATTAGAAATAGTTTTATTTTGTGTGAGTTTTGCACATCATCAGAATGTGCTCTGATCGCGTGTTTCTGTCGAGCAGGTGTGTAAATCCCACTCAGGGCTCCTGGGCAAGGGACTGGCCCTCACTCACTCTCCCACCATCCTGGAGGCACTGGAGGGGAACCTGCCACTGCATTTGCAGACTAACGAACACTCCTTTCTAGAGGACTTCATTACCTGCGTGCAGAACTCTAGCGGTGGGCGGCTCGCCAGGTCTGTATCAAACATTTTACAGCTCCCTTTATTCTTTATGGGTCTTTTGATAGCTTGAGGCCCTCATCCGAGCATCTTTACCATTCTACGTTCCCAGGTGGCTTCAGCCAGACTCCTACGCAGACCCTCAGAAGACCTCACTCATTCTGAACAAAGACGACATCCGCTGTGGCTGGCCCACTACTGTTGTGGTGCAGACCAAGGACCAATATGGAGATGTTGTGCATGTGCCAAACATGAAGGTTAGCATCTTACTGAATCAAACGGTGCGTTATGAAACTGGCACATCTAATCGTCTCTGATCTGTGTTGCAGGTTGAAGTCAAGGCTGTTCCTGTCTCTCAGAAAAAGTCCATCCAGCAGGAGAACATGAAGAAACTGCAGCGTTTGCCAGGCAGCTCCTCTAATTCTGCATCAGGAACCGATCTCACCTTTGGTGGCCACCCAGCACCCAAACTGGAGGCGACATACGAACCCATGATCATCAAAGAAGCACGTTATATCGCCATCACCATGATGAAGGTTCCTCTCATCTATTGACTTGATAATTATAGTCGACTCAAAAATGATTTGGACTAGGGCTGCCCAATTAGTCAAAATAAAACCGAAATCATGATATCGCCTGGTGTGATTATCAAATCACAAAGATTGCGATAGAATTAAAGTGCCCCATTATGCTATTTTAAAGGTTCCTAATTTTGTTTTGGAGGTCTCCAACAGGTATACATGCATCCAAGTTAAAAAAAATATATATAATAATTGGAGAGAAGAGAAGTCTGTCCTTTCACTGAAAGATCCAGTTATTACATTTTTAATATATTATAAAAAAAAAACATATACTGGGATGATTCGTTCACAGTAAGATTAATACACTTACAAAATATAGAGGTTCATTTTAATTTCATAATGACTTCAAAAATTTGTCTCATTGCAATTGGATAGTTTGATATTTTGTATGTTTTTCTTACATTGTCACTTACTGTCTTTTTTGTCCAGGCATATGAAAATTATTCCTTTGAAGAGCTTCGCTTTGCCTCGCCAACACCAAAGAGGTTCAAAGACCTACCTGTCATATTCATATTACAGTCGACATTCAAATGTAAGAACAGGTTTCAGGTTCAGTTTGTCTGCTTCTTACTCAGGCCCAGTGAGAACATGCTTATCCGGGCCAACACAGACGGAACATACAGCGCTAACTGGACCCCTGGTGCTGTTGGACTTTACACCATTCATGTGACCATCGATGGCATTGAGATCGGTAACTGGATTTGAGTTTTTATTAAAGCTTTGTATTAGAGCACTTTGTTGTAGAAATATTTACGGAGTGTTCAAAGTGGATCGTGTATGTTGCTAGTGCTCAAATAGATTATCATTATCAGCATTTTTCCCCCATAAAATGTAAAAAATTGTGTTTACATGATAAAGTATAATTTATAGAGCAAATGCAAGATAGGGGGACAGATTATGTCAATTCTTTTGCGTTCTCTCGTTCTTAAAGTTTCCCCCAAGACACTTTGTGTTTCCCTGTCCGTCTCTCAACACAAAATTTCTTGCGGTAATGCAAAAGTGTTTGCGAGAGAACGCAAAAGCATTGACATTTTTTCCCCCCTCTCATCTCATGTTTTTTCCATCACCGTGTCCCTTTAGGGGCTCTGTACTATAGTCCTCATACATAAAGACCTGTGGTTTGTGTTTAACTCTTGGGTCTGGTTTCACAGACAGGGCTTAGGTTAAGCCAGGATTATGCCTTAGTTCAATTAGGGCATTTAAGTATCTTTTATAAATGTGCACTGATATGTCAGTGCAAATTGCTTTCAGTTAAAACAGCTCAAGTGTGCATTTTAGTCTGGGACTAGGCTTAAGCCTTGTCTGTGAAACGGGGGGTTGATATTATAGAGCTAATGAGTCTTGAGTTTTATAGACTGAATAATATTTGCTCAGATGCTGGTCTGGAGGTCGAGGTCAAAGACCCACCCAAAGGAATGATCCCTCCTGGCACACAGATGGTCAAACCCAAAGCTGAACCTCAACCTAGCAAGGTGAGTTTCCGAGTTAAGGAGTTAAAGATAAAGAGGTGCTACAAGGCCAGATGTATCCGGTCCAGGTTAACCTAATGTTCATAAATTTGGGGTCGGTAATACATTTATTTAATGTTTTTGAAAGATGTCTCTTACGCTCACCAAAGCTGCATTTATTTGATTAAAAATACAGTAAAATGTCACATGATCCTTCAGAAATCGAGAAATGTTTCTTATTATCAATGTTAGAATATTTTTGTGGAAACCAGGATTTTTTTTCTTGGATTCTCTGATGAGTAGAAAGTTCAATAGAACAGAACATTTATTTGAAACATTATAAATGTCTTTACTGTCACTTTTGATCAATTTAATGTGGCCTTGCTGGGAAAAAGTATTAGGGTGCTTTCACACTAGGTTCGATTGCTTGGTCCAAACCAGAGTATGATCGCTCTCCCCTTCCCCCGCTGGTCTCTGTTCACATTATATTATTTGGGTCCAAACCACGGTACGCTTGCGTCATCAACTTTCAGCGACGTACCCATGTTGCTAGGTAATGGCTATGAAGGACAAAGCGCCATAATGGATAGAGTTGCTCGCATCATTATTTTTGATCCTTTGGTCTTGCTTCCAAAGCGTCAGCACATAACAGCACTTGCGTCTGTCTGCTGCGAATGTACTGTTAATATGTTCTAAGAAACGCGGGAGTCCATTTGTGCTGAAGGCGAGCAGAAATGAGATGTACATTCTCTCCGCTTGCAGTGCGCTTGTCAGGGAAGTGAGTGAGAAGAGAACACACACAAACAGTTTTATCGAATCATACCGAATCATACATCATCAATAGGGGTTCTCTTCCACAATTTAGTACGGTTGCGCTTATTTCAGCAGCGAACTGTACCAGAGTTCACACCTTACTTTCCATCAAAACAAAAAAAAACGTACTGACCCCAAACTTTTGAACGGTAGTGTTAATGTTTACAACTGGACTGTCATTCTTTGGAAATGGTGTCCGAAAATGTTTTGCGCTGAAGCAAATAGTATACGATTACAGCTTTTTTTAATAAATATATTTATGACGTTAAATACTTTCTGGAAGTTGATGTCCTGCGGCTTGGCAAGCTAAAATTCAAGTATAATTGTTTTATAATTATTACACACCTTTTATGAGCTCATATTACTTGAGGGACCACATGGACTAAACTTTTTTTTTTCTGTTTCTTTATAAAGATGGCTAGAGACTAGACTATTGGTGTGTAAATAGCTGTGCGGTATCAGTGCTATGTATATGCGAGTGCGGTGTCACTATATTTCTTCACCGTGTATTTCTTTACTGTGTATTGAACTGGGAAACAAGCAACACAACTGCACAAAATCAAGTGTCTTTCATGCTTTTTTTCTCCCGAGTTTCTCACACCTCATTGGATGGACTGACGTTTCCCTCGTCTGATAGGATGTGCGGGTTCTGTTCTCTTCTGTTCTCGTGCTGTGAACCCTTACTCTCTGACTGCAGCTTCCTGCCAACTTCTCATCTGTCTTACAGTCTCTGTCTCTCGCCCTCTGCTTCTCTCAGGTGCGCAAATTTGTGGCCAAGGACAGCGCAGGGCTGCGCGTGCGTAGTCACCCTTCTCTGCAGAGCGAACAAATAGGCATAGTCCAAGTCAATGGCACCATCACATTCATTGATGAGGTAAACCGCTCTAGAATAGGGCCAAAATGTTCTGTGTTTAAATCCTTTTCTGTTTTCTCTTCCTTTAATCAGAGAACACACTTATGAAATGATTAATGAATTGTTTCTGTTTTAAAACAAAAAGGCTTTTAAAACTATTTCTGCATCTTTCTGAGCTTTCTAATTTACTTATGATTTGGTCAGAAGCGTTTTTTTTTTTTTTGCCTATCCTTTGCTTCATTTACATGCAGGAGACTTTGAGGCTGTAGTTAAAGCTCATATAAGAGCTATCTATCCCAGTTCACCGCTGCATGCCAATCACTGATACTCCTATAAGACCCAACCTCACATCCGCAATGCTGTCGGTTGCTCTAAAGGCCCTTTCACATGAACCGCCAGTGCATTGATCTCTATGGAGATAAGTGTCAACCTTGTAATGTTTTGCTCACCATTTTGCCGTTTCAAAGCACACTTAATTGGAAAAATTGCATGACTTTTTGCATGACAGGTCAAACTGTATATGGTATATATAAAAAGAAAACCTACCAGTCAACATTTTGGACACACTTGAGTCTGACTGAATTTATATTTCATTTCATAGAATACTTATTGTTATTATAATTTTTTTATTATAGTATGTCTTAATATTGATTATCTGTTATTTTTACATTTATATACACCACTGTTCAAAAGTTTGGTCCATAAGATTTTCTTTGTTTATGAAATAAGTCTCACCCTGGCTGGATTTATTTGATTTTACTTCAGTAAAATCGAGCAGTAAAGTATTACTATATATAATTAAAAATGTAGTTAATTCCTGTGATGCAAAGCTTAATTTTCAGCATCATTACTCCAGTCACATGATCCTTCAGAAATCATTCCAATATGCTGATGTGATGCTCAAGAAACAATTCTTATTATTATTAATGTTGAAAATGCTGCTTAATCCTAAAAAAAAAATCCACTAATACATTTTTTAAATGTAAAGTTAAAAAACAACAACATTAATTTGAAATCGAAATTTTTATCAGTTTAATACATTCTTACTGAATAAAAGTATTGATTATAGAAAACAAAATCTTACTTGTCCCAGATATTTGAACAGTAAGTGTATTATCTATTAATTATTATAGTATCAAATCAAAAGAACTATGTTTAATGCTCAAAATTAGTTTTGCTGATTAATTGTTTTGCAAAAACTAAAATTACTTTTATTTTTTTAATGGATGAGTGGGAGGGGATAGTAAAGGAAAAGCAAGTGGATATAACAGTGTATTTAATTTACTTAACTATATACAGACAAATGTCCAAACTTTTGAGTGGTAGTGTTAACTCCCTGCTTTTTTTTGCTAACTTGCTAATTGGCAAACCCGTAGAATTACCGTACGATGACATGGCAGCGCTTTTCACATGCTCAGAGTGGCGCTTAACGCTTGCGCTGAGCAGTGTCTTGAAGCCCCCACATAAGTCACGTGAAAGGGCCTGTTGTTCCTTGCTGTCAGGCCCTACATGCATATAAAAATTCTGTAGATGATGCATCTCATTTTCTCTCAACACAACTGGACATCCACTGTAAATCCAACTGGTTGGTGTCGCGCATTTACGCAATTGGTTCTGCAGCCTCAGAGGCTCATGCGAGGGGCGTGTTAGCAGTTACAGGAGGGCATGGCTCCGCTCTGTTGCTTGTTTCCCATAGATCCACAATGATGATGGTGTCTGGCTCAGACTGAATGATGAGACAGTAAAGAAGTATGTTCCCAACATGAATGGGTACACTGAAGCCTGGTGCCTCTCTTTTAACCAGCATCTGGGCAGAAGCCTCCTGGTCCCTGTCGACGTAAGTAAAAGGCCTCCCCCTTCGTAGATTAGCCGGAGCCCCTACACTGCTCATTTGGGAACGGGACTTGTAACTGTCAGCTTAACTTCAGTCACATTTTAGGATGATCATTTGATATACTTCAGTTTGGCTCTTTTTACAGTGAATCACGGGCATCCAATGACCCAGTCCCAAATGCCTACAAGCATGCTGTGTTAATTACCTACAAAGGCCAACAAAATGTGCCCTTGCATGTGTTAGTGCTACTCTGTAGTTTAGTTTGGGCACGATCACTCAGAGACCAGGATGGACATTTTTAAGGGTGGGTTGTGCATGTTGCCAGTCCCTTGTCTTATTAACTCCTGGTTGAAAGACACTAACTCATATGCACTCTGTTTTGTAGGGCTGCACCATTATGAAAAAGTTCCTATTTTGTCTATTTTATCCCTTGGTATTTTAATGGCAGTTCTCTTTCATCATCTCGTTTCGAGATCCACCTATGGGAAGGGCATCCGTACCTGACCTCTGCAGAAGCATCCAATTGCACCAAGTCTGGCTAACTGACAGAAGCGCGCAGCCAATGCCAGGTGAGGCCACACCCCCTTACCTACGGGCATATCACAGCTGGGCGCGCTGCTATTCCTCAGTTGACATTCGCTTCTCGCGATCTCTGCATTGACACAGTTCGGTTGGATTAACGTTACGCTGCTCACTTTCGAGTCTTCAGGAGGACATATCGCATTCGCCAGATCAGCCTCCGCCAGACGTGAGTGACAGTCGTTTCTTCAGCCTATCCGCTGTGTTTTTTGCATCCGGAGCCGCCCGAGCTCTCGCTGTCCTTCACCTGCTCCTCCTTTACATGGCTGCCCGCCACGGATTTTTCCGAGTTCTTCACCGCTGGCCCGCCCATGGCTATGTGACCGTCTAAACAGCCGCTTCCCCCGGGGAACAGCCTAGCACGACGAGCCTGCCCGGCCGCGTGTGGTGCTCTCATCGCCGCTATAAGGACCCTCTCGTTCTGCGCGGTCTGCTTGGGCTTAACACGCTCAAGCTTTGGAGAACCCGGGGAATTGCGGTCATTGTAATTGCTGCCCATGTAGCTTTTACTAAGCCGGCTTTTAGTTGCACGACACAGCGCGCCGTGCTCGGCCTTTCTGACTCGGAGGAGAGACACGGTGATGATGACGCGCTACCGGGGGACTCCCGGAGCGCCACCTCTCTAAAATATTTGAGCTGACATCAGCCCAATCCGCATTCCCTGAAGAGGACATCTTCGCGGGAAAACCTCACTCTCGTTGACGAACCGGTCGGTTCCGGCGACGGGGATGACGCGGTCCTTTTAGCGTTCCCTAGGCTAGCGTTCACGCGGCTTTGCCTCCGTCCATCCTCCTGGAAGTTTGTGAGCGAGCGGCCGTTCGTTTCAACATTGTGTGGCCAGCTCCACAGAGCGCCACCGACCAGGATAGGAATATGTACGACGGGTAAACGCTGGGACCACCGCCCAGTCTGAACGGCCGGAGCGTCCCGCTAGACTGTTAACACGGTCTCACGGGCCTTGATTTGTTACGATTACGTGTTGAGGTTTTCAATGTATGCCTTCCGAGGAAGGCGGTCCCGAACGCAAGCGGCCTGCCTGTTGTTCGACCATTGGGAGTAACGTTAACTAACAGGGTCTCCCACCTACGGTCGGTTAATCCCCTCGCGTGGCTGCCCAGCCCGTATGTTAGTGGACGTTGTGTGTGTGTGTCCCCCTCCCCCCCACAACAACAAGTTACGGGGGAGGGGGCTGTCGTGAGGAAAAGTACATAGCAGTGTTACCACACCGCACGCACTTGGTTCCCCTCACCCAGTTATTAAAGGCTTCGGCCCCAGTGTTTCCCAACACAAACACACACATTACTAAACAACACATTTAATAAACGAATCAAATGAATTCGTGCAGATTTATATATCTGCCAGCGGCAACATAGAGAGCAAATCTCTCTGATCCCATGCATGTCGCCCTGAGTCCGTCCACAAGAGGTCGCCATTGCCTCATAAATCAACCAACTGGGCTCACACAGCTCAGTTGCGGCTGTCCAGCCGATGTTTTTTTAGTGGACGTTGTGTGTGTAAGGCCCCTGTGTTCCCCAACACAAAACACACACATAACTAAATAACACTTAAAAAAAAAAAAAAAAAAAAAAAAAAAAAAAACGCATTAAATAAATCCGTTACAGAGAGAGTATCTCTCTCCGCGGATATTATTTTTCTGCCTGCACTTGAGACTGCCCAGTTCATGTGTTCAGGAGATATGTGTTTTTCCAGCTTTTGGGGACACCTTGTGAGGGAAAGTTCAGTACAGTGGACACCACACTATGTTTCCCTCACTCTGTCAATAAAGGCTTTGGCCCCAGTGTTTGCCCAACACAAAACACACAAAGCTACGAATCAAATGAATTCGTTTTGGAGAGAAGACCTCTCTCCGCAAAGAAAACTTCTCACTGCAGAGAGAGGAAATCCCTCCAAACCCCTGCATGTTGCCTCTAGTGTTCCCACTAGATGGCGCCTTTGCATCACAAATGAACCAGCTGGGCCCATACAGCTCCGCTCCGGCCCGAGCGGGGGCGCTCGCGAGTCACAAAGCGGCTTGGCAAGCCGTTTCAGCGCCCGAGTGGGTTTTTGCGTACTGTAACCCAGGGTTACAAGCTGCAGTTTGCAATAAAACCTCCGCATTTCAACGGCGTTCTCTCTTCTCACACAGAAGAAAACGCCTCACACATTCTGAAAGAGGAAATTTCCTCCCTCCTAACAAGGGAGCGATTCAGATGGTGCCACCCAATCTGATAAACCATGGTTTTTATTCCTGGTATTTTCATGTTCCAAAAGGCGTGGCGCCCCCCCGCCCTATATTGGACCTTCGAGTGTTGAACAAACATTTGAGGAAATTCAATTTCAGAATGTGACACAAGCCTCTCTCGCCTGTGCCATAAAGCAGAACGACTGGTTCACATCAGTCGATCTGAAAGATGCTTTCTTTCACATAAGCATCTACCCTCCACACAGGAAATATCTTCGTTTCGCCTACCAAGGCGTTTGTTACGAATTCACAGTTCTTCCGTTCGGGTGCAATTTGAGTCCCCGAACTTTCTGTCTGTGTGTGGAGGTGGGCGTGGCGCCCCTGAGACTATCAGGGCTGAGAATTCTGACTTACTGGCTCATCATAGCCAAATCAAAGGAGAAGGTGTCGCTGGACACCGGCCGGGTGCTCGCGCACATCACATCCCTCGGGTTCAAGGTGAATGCGAGCAAAAACAATCTGACTCCCAGTCAGAATGTCATTTTCCTGGGCTTGGAATTGAACTCAGTCTCCATGCGAGCGCGTCTCTCTCAAGAGCGCGTTCGCTCGCTGATGGACTGTCTGTCTCAGTTCAGTGAAGGGGCGAGAGTACAATATCGCACATGCCTCAGGCTGCAGGATCTCATGGCTTCATCTATCCAAGTTGTGCCATTGGTCTCCTGAGAATGAGAACGTTCACGAAATGGGTTTTGTACACTACATTTCAGCCCGATTTGCGATCTCTGCCGCTCGGTAACGATGACGCGCGCCTGCTCGGCGGCCTTGCGCCATTGGGTGAGCGAGAACTTTTACGCACGGGGAACCCCCCCTCGGGACGGTACGATGCGAAAAGTTTTGACGACAGATGCGTCCTTAACAGGCTGGGGAACCACCCAGGAAGGCAGAACGGTGAACGGTCTGTGGCTGAGCAGACTACGTTCAGCGCACATTAACTATTTAGAGCTTTTACTATTTGGAAAGCTCTGAATAATTTTCTGCCTTGCCTGCAGGGACATCCTGTTCTAGTACGGTGCGATAATACCACGGTAGTGGCTTATATCAACCGTCAGGGTGGCATGCGCTCGTCAAAACTCCACGCTCTAGCTTACAGGCTTTTGGTGTGGAGCAGACAGGTTTTTCTGTCATTACGCGTGACTCATGTCCCGGGCATTCGGAACAGAGGCGCGGATCTGCTATCGAGGGGAAACCCAATCCACGGGGATTGGCGTCTTCACCCGCAGATAGTGGAGAGGTTATGGATGAGATGGGACAGGCAGCCGTAGATCTTTTCGCCTCGCGCGAAAATCACCATTGTCCTATGTTCTTCTCGCTAAAGGACAGAAGAACCTTCCCTGCCTCGGGGCAGACGCACTGGCCCACCCATGGCCCAAAGTGCTGTTGTATGCTTTTCCTCCCCTGTGCCTGATAATTTTCACTCTGGCCAGGGTGAGAGAGCACGGCCTGTCTCTCACTCTAATAGCACCCAGGTGGCCCAAAGCCCCATGGCTGGCAGAGATAATCCCTCTGTTATAAGCCGAGCCATGGCGCCTCCCCCCTCGCACGGACATACTGTCCCAAGCCAACGGGGAGATTTACCACCCCCACCCGGACAGGGTGGCTCTCTGGGCCTGGCCCGTGAGAGGACAAACCAAAATGCACTGGGGCTCCCGCCGCGTGTAATCGCCACTACTCAGAAGGCCAGGGCCGTTTCCGCGCGATCCCTATATGGCTGTGAGTGGCAAGTGTTCGAAGGGTGGTATGATGGGCGTGGTTTCACATCTTATCAGTGCTCGGTGCCTGATATTTTGTGTTTCCTGCAAGACCTCATGGAAAGAGGCAGGTCCTTTTCCACTATTAAGGTCTACCTGGCTGCGATTTCAGCCTGTCATGTGGGTTTTGGGGCTCCACCGTCAGGCAGCACCCTCTAACCCGCAGATTTATGGAGGGTGCACGCCGCTCTTTGCTGGTCATCAGGAGATCTGTTGAATCTGTCCCAGAGTGGGACCTCTCCATGGTGCTGGAAGCGCGGTCTCTGTATCCTTTTGAGCCTCTGGGGAGTATTTCCCTTAAGCTGCTGTCCCTCAAGACAGCTTTGCTCTCGGCCTTGGCATCTGCTAAACGGGTCAGTGAGCTACATGCACTCTCGGTTCACCCCTCGTGCGCCAAATTCTCCCTAAGTGGAGATAAGGTTTTCCTTAAGCCTAACCCGGCCTTCATGCCGAAATGCTTCCCTGCGTTCACGTCGGAGGTTTTGGAGCTATCCGCTTTTCACCCTCCACCCTTTGCCTCCCCGGAGGATCAGGGGCTGAATGCTCTGTGTCCCGTCCGTGCTCTGCAAGCATAATGACCAGGACCAGTGCTTTCCGCAAGAGCGACCAGCTCTTTGTTTCTAGGGCTCCCCTGCACAAGGGGAGTCCCATTTCAAAGCAATGCCTCTCACATTGGCTTGTGGACGCTATACTATGGCTTATGAAGCAAAGGGAGTGCAGCCCCAAGGGGCATCAGAGCTCATTCCACAAGGGGCTTAGCCGCCTCTTGGGCTTTGTTCAGGGGAGTGCCACTGCAGGACATCTGCTCCGCGGCCAGCTGGGCCTCTCCTCATACCTTTGAGCGTTACTACCGGTTGGATGTCACCAGAACTTCGGTGGCACACTCGGTCCTAGGGGTAGGGTCCTCTTAGCCCTTTCCCACAGCCCCGTTTGGTTAACCAACGAGGAGTGAATGGGCCGGCTGGCCATGTTCATTCCTGTCACCAAGCATTCGCATTCCTTCTTGGGTTTAGCTATGTGCATTGGTGGTGCGGGGGCCATTATCATGTATGTGTCTCATGCATGTTTCATGCCCTGCTTGTCCACAGCAGTTAGCGTGGCGGAAAACTTGCAGGGTCATGTTTGTGGGACGTGTCAGGCACCGCCTCTCTGAGGTGACCGTCCTTCTCTGGCCTTCAGAACCTCACTGTGAGTGTATTGGGCAATCGGGGAGCTGTCCATGTCTCTCCCATAGGTGGATCTCGAAACGAGATGATGAAAGAGAACAATAGGTTACTGTCGTAACCCCGGTTCTCTGAAACATCGAGTGGAGAGATCCACCAGCCTTGCCCCGCTTGCCGCACGAGAAGCGAATATACTGACTGAGGAATAGCAGCGCGCCCAGCTGTGAAATGCCCGTAGGTAAGGGGGTGTGGCCTCACCTGGCATTGGCTGCGCGCTTCTGTCTGTTAGCCAGACTTGGTGCAATTGGATGCTTCTGCAGAGGTCAGGTACGGATGCCCTTCCCATAGGTGGATCTCTCCACTCGATGTTTCAGAGAACCGGGGTTACGACAGTAACCTATTGTTATTTACTCCAATTAATAGTGTTCATTTTAAAATATGACATTCCTTGTAAATACCGGTAATGAAATTCTCACCACATCTACACCTTGTTTATTATAAAGGCTGGAATGCACTAAAGAACTTTTCAAATCTGAACAGATTTTAAAACACTATATTAACACACAGACGGCATCACTAAGCGTTTCGAACACAAACTCGCAAATATGAAAACAATGTGTTTTGAAATTTGTTCAAAATATTAAACATGTTTGACATCCTCCAACTGGATGGAATTGTAGTGTGAAGCTAACATTAACTATGTGATTTTCTGCTAAATATGTCACCTACGAATGTCCAAAATCTGCAGAATGGCCCTGACTTTCGGCAACTAGCGTCGACTCTTCCAGACTACAAATCAGGGCAAATACCTTTGCAAAAGTCGTGTAGTGTATTTCAGCCTTAACAGGAGTGTTCTAGTTTTGGTGTCAAAACTTGTTCTGTGGTATGTTGCAGAGTTTAGCTCTAACCTTGAAAAAAGAAGAAAAAAAACTCACCTACTTGTAGCTTTCTTGACATATTATGCGTCCGAAATCAAATACTATATAATATGTTAAAAACAGGACGCCAACAGAGTAGTATGTCCGAATGCATAGTAGAATCAATGCATAGTGACCTACTACTTCCTACTAGTAATTACCACTTAATTATACAAGTGTTACATTTACGGCGAGATTCTGAAGTGCGCATTCGCTGGACACTTTACTATCCCATGAAGCCATGGGAGAGGATTTATGAATGGCGGTGAAGCGACGCAACTGACGCTGGTTGGTCACATGACCGTAACATCATGGCGGATGTAGTACGTCTGGATTATTCATACTATATAGAACAAGCTTTTTTAACGGTCGCGAAGTGCGAATTCAAATGTAGTACATACTTGGACAGTATGCGATTTTGGACGCAGCGATTGATTAGCTTGTTCGGGTGTGTTTGATTAGGGTTGGGCTAAACTCTACAGAACAGCGGAACGAAGTTGCCCATCCCTGATCTATATTGTAAGTGAGCAGCTCAACATGTCACGATGCTTTTCGCTTTGCCTCCACTGCTTTTTTGTTTGTTTATTTTTTGAGAGTCAGGTGATGTTTCTACAGCTTTCTTTTTCATAATAGAAATGAAACAAAACACTGCTTAAAAATGTGCTCATTAGAACTGATTGTGATTTCTAACAGGCCTATAGATTCCCAAATGCGCAAACAAATGCAGCGAATGCTGTAATCGACACTTCATGATTCGCTTGTTGCGTCAGCCATTATTATAATCTATTCATTTAATTGTGCAGCCCTACTGTGTTGTTGTTCATCATATGTGGTGTGAAAAATAGCTCTTGTGTGATACTGAATATCAGTGAACAAAGCTTTGCTGTTTCCTGGTCATGACAGTATATAAGTATGAGCTCAATGAAAGCTTTAACCTCTTCATATAGCCAATTTGTAAAAAAGATGAAGATGTATACAGATGAAGATTAATTTGCTTATAAATGTGCTCAATGGCCCTGAAACCTTTTCAACAATTGGTTTGAAAGTGGCTGATCTTTTAAAATTTTTAGCTGTCTGGGTCCCGCAACTTTTGATGAGGTTCTGCCATGAAACAAGCCGTTTTCCGAACTGAAGGCCTAAAATTTGGGCCATGATTGTGAGAGCATAATTACCTCTGGATGTGAAAATATCATCAAGGGTCCCAGTGTGAACAGCATGACACACCACCAATCTTTTTTGGAAGATTATCAATCTTCATATTTCTTGTGATTTATTTTTCATTTGCTGTATTTTGATGTGATTTTTGAATTTTGTTGCAAAATTCTCAGTCATAATCTTCAGAAGATCCCAGAATTCTAGGTTTAGGATTGTTTCATTTTGCTAGACCTTCTTCTCAACCTTCAAATTCTTCTCTTACTGTATCGTGAAGAAAATTCGAAAGGCATAAAATACACCCAAACAAACTGTCACTATAACAAATCCATCTCTTCCAAAAAAAGACAAACCATACCGTCTGCGTTTCTGATTGAAGCTAATCCCCAACCGTGTTTTGACTTGCTTATAATCTGTTGCTCAGAATATCTTTAGCGCTAGCCAAGGAGTCAGGGATATCGACTTTTTGTCTTGGACGACCTTATCTTGTTTTCCCCAGGTGAGTTGTCAGAAGATGAGGTGTGTTGTAGCTTGGCTGCTGCTTTGCTTTTCACCAGTGTTTCTCATGATTTCGAGATGTTTCAGATTGTGATTTGTACATGTAGTATTGGAGCATCATCATAGTTGCATGTTTAATTGTGTAAATAGTGAGCGACACAAAATATGTTTTATCATCTTTTCCTTGTATGCACAAAGTTTCCAGTACCTAATGATCATTTACATTACATTTATGTTAACCTTGGGTAAAGCTTTTTTGCGTTTTCATGTAGTTGTTCACAGTTGAAACAAACAAAGTCAGTTGCATGAGGATTTAAAGGAATAGTTTACTCAAATTAAAATGTTGTCATTATTTACTCTGCTTAATGTCCTTCCAAACGTGTATGTTGTTTTCCATGGAAAACAGAAGGTGGATTCTACAATGACCACATCTTTCAAGCCCCAAAAATTATTCATACAAATAAGTTGCTGTTGATGTTAATGACGCCAAACCATATATGGAAGAATTTATTGGAAATTCTCCTTTTGTGGTCCATGGTAAAAATAACAATTTATAATAATAGTGACAGAATTTGAACTTTTGGGCGAACTATTCCTTTAATAAAAGCAGAATACCTGAATGCATGTGTTTTTGTTTTGTTTTTTCTCTCTCACACAAATGCAAAATCAATAACTCAAAATTAATCTGTTATAATATTCATCCTGCTAAATTAATAAATGTAAGGCCCTGTCCACACGGACACGGGTATTTTTATAACCGTGACTTTTTTTACGCGGTTCGGCCGTTCGTCCACACGAAAACGCACTGAAACCGAACATTTTTGAAAACCCCTGCCAAGGTGAGGATTTTCAGAAACGCCGGTTACAGTGTTGTCGTGTAGACAGTGAAACCGGGGTTTTTGCCTTGCGACGTCAGAGTGTGCGCTGTTATCCGCTGTGTTTGACGTCAGATTTGCGCTTCTGATTGGCCAACGTGGCTTTACGGTTAAGGGTTATATCACCGCCTGCTGGCGTGGCATGCTCTTGACCGCGCTTGATAGCGTGTTTTTGCGTTTTCATGTAGACGGAGACCGAGCATGTGTGGACGGGATTTTTTTTTTAAACGCTGTAGGAAAAACTCCGGTTATAAAAATACCCGTGTCCGTGTGGGCAAGGCCTAAATGTCATCCCACAACAATCTAAAATTAGTTACAAGTTACAATTAGGATAACATGATATTTGTAAAGACTGTCTTATTTTTGTATGTAGAAGCACAATTGACAGGTCTATGTATTGCTGATGTAAGCAGGTACTTCATCCTGGCAGCAAATTATGTTTAATGTCAGTGATGTCACTTGATGTCACTATTGTCTGCATGAATTTAGTTGTAAATGTATTCTTGAATAAATTATATTCAAAAATGCATTAACAGTGGCATGAATACGCTGCTTTTAAAAAGATTATTTTCACTTTTTGATATTAAGATATTATTGTGGGGAAAAAAATGTCAAGGTTGTGTAACTGTCCTGCAATCATAGTCTTAAAGTCATAAAGGTTAATTCTTTAACAACAACTAAAGATGTTGAAAATTGTATTAACTGTTTTCAAAAAATGTGGGCCAGTTTTACTGCAAAGACATTTCTATGGACTGTTAAACTAGATCTTTGAAAGGGTTTTTCTTTTCATATCGGACATCCTTATTTGTCATTGACCCTAAAACGAAGACTTAAGAAATTAGATGGAACGAAATATTTTGAGGACATAATTTTACGATGTATAACATACTTTCAAACTTAAATTAACTGGTGTCCTTTGGTTTTACAGGAGGGCAGGTCAAATTTGGATGATTATGGAAAGGAGACCAGTGGCCACCCTTCTCATGACGCCACCGTACGAGACATGGGCGCAGGCCAGGGTGGTGGACCGGGTCTTTATAAGGTAGTGAAGACCGGACCTTCGGGTCACAACATCAGAAGCTGCCCAAACCTTAGAGGTATCCCCATTGGAATGTTAGTTCTGGGGAACAAAGTCAAGGCGGTAGGCGAGGTATGGACTCCCAACTGTGTTACTGTGGCTGCCAATAAATGACTAATTAGCCAGATTTCTTGCTAGTTCTGCAGTTTCTGTAACACAAATTCTTCATTTTTCTTTAGACAATTATAGATCCCTTTGTGTAACTTCTTTTGATAGAGGCCATACATGCTATGGCTCTGGTGTGTGGGTGTGTTATTGTTCTGTTCACATTATCAAAGCCCCTTTCAAGAACCACCAAGCATGGCTTCAGCTTTTGCACAGTAACAGTACAGTGTAATCTGGCATGCTCTGCAGGAAAATCTGTGTGATGCGATAATTAATAAATGACCTATTAACAATGATGGCAGGAAGCATGTGAATTACAACAAAAACTGAAGTCATCTCATAATTTCCACTCTGTAAACACCAGGGTTGAGCAAAATTCAGAATTAAGAATGGGTTCCCTTTCGATTCGGGAATGTGAATATGAATTGCATTTACTGTGACCCACAGGATGTAGAACTGGAATTTGCATTGTAATGATATTAGGAAGAAGAATTTACTGAATTGCAGTTCAAAGAAATTCAACACAGTCACACAACTGAGGAGTTAAATGAGTCAGTTTAAACAAAACATAAATAATACCATTTTTTAGTAGTAGTTATGCCACTGTATTCCATTTTGAAGACCCTGGGATATTATATAATACTATATTCATTAAATTATTATACACTGCATGGCCAAAAAAAAAAGTCACTGATCTGATTTAAATAGGGAAATAAACTATGATTGGATCATTATTGCAGTGATTATTATGTTTCTAGCATGTTATATGTTTGGCATCAGTTCTTCTAACACTGATTGATGGAGTTTGTAGCTTTTCATTTCTTAAACAACCATGTAGGAAGACAGATCATGGCCATAATTTGAGTCCAGACCTTAAATTCATTGAAAGTCTTTGGGATGTGCTGGAAGAGACTTTACAGAGTGCTCGACTCGTGCATTGTCAGTACAAGATCTTGACAAAAAATGAATGCACCCCTTGATGGAAATAACATCACATCATTTATTTCTAGGTCTAGGACTCAGAGGACTCCCAATTAATGTGTGAAAATGATTCTTCATGCTTCCTCACAACCATTCATTCACAATTTGAGCATGATGAATCTTGACATTGTCATCCTGGAATATGGCCATAATCTGTCTTCCTACATGATTAAGAAATGAGAAGCTACACACTCCATCTATTAGGGTTAGAAGAACGGTTGCCAAACATATAACATGCTAGAATATATATCTTTCTTCTTTCTTTCTTTATTTGTAAAGCACATTTAAAAACAACCCATGGTTGACCAAAGTGCTGAACAGGACAGAGTAATCAGAGCAAAGGTAATACAACATAATAAGGATAGCACGAGCAATAGATACAATTACAAACATAAAAAGAATAGAAGAATTAATATAATTCATAGGAGAGTACATTAAGGATCCACATTAAGAAAGTGTTTTTTGAGCTTGGATTTAAAGGTGGCAAATGACGTAACTGTTCTAATTGAAAGTGGTAGGTTATTCCATAATTTGGGGCCTGCAACTGCAAAGGCACGGTCACCCCGATGTTTCAGTTTTGATCTATGCACTGCGAGCAATCCGAGGTTACTAGACCTAAGTAATCTCGGTGGGTTATGGAAGTGTATTAGATCAGATAAGTAGCCTGGTGCCAGGCCATGTAGTGATTTAAAAACAAAAACTAGAATTTTAAACTCAATTCTCTGTTTGACTGGTATCCAGTTTAGGGAAGTTAAGATCGGAGTGATATGATCGAACTTACGACTACCTGTCAACAGTCTGGCAGCAGCGTTTTGTACTAGTTGAAGGCGTCCAATGGATGATTGGTTAGTTCCAATATAAAGTGAATTACAGTAGTCGATTCGTGAGGTGATAAAAGCATGAATCACTATTTCAAAATTCTTTGGAGAGAGAAAGGATTTAACTCTTGCAAGACGACGAAGGTGGAAAAAACAGGTTTTAACGACAGAGTTTATTTGCTGATCAAACTTAAGGCCTGAGTCAAACACAAAACCTAGATTTTTTGCAGTTGATGTAACACGAGGGTTTAACTCGTCAAGATCTAGAATACCGGAATCATAGCGATCACAAGGATCCAAACAGCATTACTTCAGTTTTGTTCTCATTTAGAGCCAGAAAGTTTTGTGCCAGCCAAAGCTTCACTTCCTGAAAGCATGCAAGTAGAACTTCTAGAGAGCTTGAGTTGTTTCGCTTAAATGGGAAATACAACTGAGTGTCATCAGCGTATAAATGAAATGATACTCCGTGTTTAGAAAAAATAGAACCCAATGGTAACAGATATAAGGAAAATAATGTTGGGGCTAAAATGGATCCCTGTGGTACACCGCAGGAAAGGTGTGCTGCAGAGGAAGTGCAATTTCCGATTTAATATATAATAATGATCCAGTCATAGACTCAAGTATTTGTTTATTTAAATCCAAACCGACCTCTTTTTTTTGCCGGGAAGTGTATATTTCTATAGATAGCACTTTAAACATTATTAATATTGTGTACTGTTTCTCAAAATAGCCAATATGTTATTTGTTTTACTAGCATCTTTGTGTAATTCATACTAGTGTTGGCCGATATGCTCCATTTTCATATCGTCCTATGGTCAGCCTGTGAGATCTGCGATACACGATATTATCGTACGGTGGGCGGGGCTTACTTATTTTTATCATTTATTTGCTTATTACTTTACTCATTAATTTGCTTATTTAATTACTTTGTTTTATATATGATGATAAGTTATTTCCTGGTAGTGAGGTAAAAACATAGACTAACCATTCCTGTATCTGACTCGAGAGTATTCAATTTTATTATGTCTGTTGTGATATTAAATAAAGCATTAAAAACTGAAGAGTATTTCAACATGTCAGCGGGAGATTTATGGACACACATTATCCTCTCATGCGGTTACAGATGTGCTTTTGATTTTCAAAGATAACTGATTTGTGCTGTGTTCAGACCTTAAAACTGTTATTAGGCTTATATAATTTTAGGGATATTATTATTAATAATTTGTTATTGTATTGTTGTTTTTTGTTATTAGTGTCATTAAAGGTTTTGTTAATGTGCTATGCTGACGAACAACGATGCAGTTTTCATCTTGGCTCAAACAACAACTTTATAAGAATGATGTGTGTCTTTTATAACAGGCACTCTTGGCAATTTGTGTATAGATCACCTTCCAATTCATTTTAAATGTGGGAGTTTTGTAGTCTGTTTTAAAAACATTTTCATTGAGGACTCCTCATACGCACGTGTCGATGTCTCAAGTGTGGTTATGTGATGTCATTATTAAATTATAGGCAAATGAATTGGAGGTCCTAATATTCATTTAATAATAATACTATTATACTAATAATATAATAATAATACTAATAATATAATACATTTTTGTTCGATTACTTGTATGAATTTTCTTTGAATTTTCTTTTCATCATATTTCTACTTCCTTAAATTCAAATTCGAATTACAGTTCTGCATTCTGTATGCTGCCTCAATTCAAATTCAAGAATTGAATGGGAATTCTGAATGGCGCACAACCCTGGTAAACACCTGTCTTTTATGGCATTTGAATAGTCTCCATGTCTGATCATGGAAGGGCTGGTCTTTGCCTCTTTCTTCTCTCGGTAGAGGTTGTGGTGTGTCATGCTGTCTTCAAATGCTCTCTTAAAGTTGTTGCCTATGAGCCTCCCAACTTGCACAAATACTGCTGTTCTGCTCACGAATGTCAAGTCAAATTTAAAACAGTGTCTTTGTTCAAAGTGGTTTCATTTCATAAATCTTGAGAATTGAATGGTGCATCATATAATTGTTTTCACTTTTCTAAATGCGCTTAATTTTAGAACTGCCACTGAGTTTGTCTTGCTCCTCTGGATTGATGTGGTGCCGTGTGTGTGTATAAGAGAGGAGGTAAATAAAGCTGTGTCTGTATCAGGTGATTAACTCGGAGGGCACCTGGGTTCAGCTGGATAAGAACAGTGTGGTGGAGTTCTGTGAGAGTGATGAGGGTGAGGCCTGGTCTCTGACCCGAGACCGAGGGGGAAACCAGTACCTGCGTCATGAGGAAGGTAACGCAAACAAACTCTTTGTCTCTCAGTCTTTGTCACGGCATCCTTTGTGGAAAAAAAAAGTGTGTTTAATTGTATACAAGAAGTGTTCTTCAGATCTTAAAAGCATATTTATATATGCAGATAATATAATATTAATTAAATGAAAGGTCATTTAAAAGTGTATTTAATAAGAATACACTTTTATGACATGTTTTAAGTATACTTTTAAGTATTACTTTTCAAAAGTGCACTTTAAAATGTCAAATAAATTTGACTTTAAAATAACTTTTTGAATCATCCTTTCTTTTATCATGCTTTAAAGAAGTACACTTATTTTGATGAGTTGACTATCATACTAAAGCGCATGTAAAGAACTATCAGTTTAACTAGTGCTATCGGACACAATTTATATATTTTAAATGTACTAAATTGCAACTTCATCATTGCAAATGTGCAATTACAATTGTATTTAAATACATGACATACAAGTTTCAATAGAAAATGCATCGAGGTATATTTTAATTCACAATAAATGTTTGTCAGTACATTCAGAAGTACACGTTTAATATTTCAAAGACAATAGAAGCATTTATGAAATATATCATGTCGGGCATAATCCTTGCGAGTCCAAAATCCCTACTTTTTAGGAAAATAGAAAAACAAATGTGTTTTTTAAATAATGTAACACTGTGTTGTCAAAGTTGATGTTGTGGCTATATATGTAGTCAGAAACTTGCTTTTGTCATTATTTTATGAACATTTTATCGAAAGCAAGCTCAAATGGAGTTACAAGGTTTTAAACCAGTGAATATCGGTCGAACGTGTTTTTTCCGTCATCAAAACATTCGCATCTAAGGCAGTAAGTACATCATGTTACTTTTTCATTACATATTATCAAGTTTATTGTATTCTATGTGGGCGCTCAGTTTTGTCTGTCATTTGGCCCAAATCTCATGTTATAAAAGATGAAATGCTACACACAGGCTGTGACTAAAACATTAGCCTTTATATATATATATATATACAGTATATATATATATATATATATATATATATATATATATATATATATTGTTTTCTAAGTAAAAGAAAATTCTGTACTTATTCAAACAACTAGTTCTTTATTTACCCATGCATTACAAGCAAGCAGAGACGGGCCAAACTGTGTGCGGCACTTCTTTCAATATTAAGGCAGGGTGGAGTTATGACTTATGAGGTTTGACTGACAGTTTAAGGATCCAATGGAGTCACGAGGTTTAATCACAAGCTCTTTTTAATACTTTTAATTGGTTAAATATTTGCAAAACCCACAGGCAGGCGTAAAGGGTGACCAGTACTAATGATTTATGAAAAAAATAAAAATGACAAAATATGGAGTTTCTGCCCGAAAGCAACATACGATATACTTCAGTCCTACGTAAGTGGTTCAGAAAAGCACTCTAAAGTTCAGTTAACTGCATTGAATATACCTTTAAACTATAATACATTTTCATTAAATTGCAATTAACAATGTTCAAAAACATTACATTCAGTTCGCATTTAGGTATATTCTGGAAATCAATAATGTGGTGCACTAACAAGACAGCACACGTAAACCAAGAGTTAAATACTGGTGGCTTTTAGTTATTAATGCTTTTTTTCCCTCTCTCTGGAACAGAGCAAGCTGTTTTAGAGCATGGAGCCCAGACCCCTCCTCCCAGCCCATTCTCAGTTCAGGCGTTTAACAGGGGCATGGGCAGCTCGGGAGCTCAGGGCTTCGACTACGGCATCTCCAACAACAAAGGTGAGAGTAAAGATTCGGGAGAGATAGGAATAAAATGTCATTTATTATTGAGTGACACATATGTTATATAAGACACACAATCTCTGTTTATATGGTTACAGTCCATCTACCAAATTAAAAAAAAATTCGTACCATGTTCCTGCAAATATATCTCATACTTATTGCCTGACGTTAAGCGTTACTTCACAAAATTGATTTCAGACCAACAGTGGTAGAATAGCTAGTCATCTAGGATTTTTCTATTTTATAATTTTTAGTAACTTCCTTTGTTCCTTATGTTTGAAATTATCTTGTTCTTCAGGTAAAATCCTTTTGGCTTTAATAAATTAAAGGTGGAACAGAATGATTATTTTCATACACTGTCATTCAAAAGTTTGTTGTTGGTTATATGTTTTTGAAAAAAGTCTCTAATGCTAAAAATACAGCAAAACTGTAATATTGTGAAATATAATTGCTTCAGACATCAGAAAGTAATATTACAACTTACATGTGCACAAAAGGTCACCAATGCGCACGTGAACTTGTCCGTCCTTGTCTGAATGTGTAATTCCTGTTTTGGATGCGCTCTTCCCGTAACAACAACGATAAAACACGGGAAACTAAAGCACAATGAATTTAGAATATTCTAATGCAATAGTGTTCTCATTATAATGTGATGTATTTGGCAGATTGGCACTGCACATATTGCACTTAACTGATTTCAGGATTCACTGCGCACTTTCAATGCCCTAGTTTCACTTTAGTTCTCCAGTTTGTTTGGCATGATGTCTAATGTGAACCAATCAGACCTCAGGTACCACCCACAATGCTGCAATCAGAAAAAGATACATATATTTTTAAAAGTCTCTGTGATATTTGTTTTCATGATCGATCGTTGCTGTCCCGTTTGAGTACTGTCTGTCCCTAGTAGGGTATTTTTAAATAAATAAATAAAAAAGTGGTAGTTTTTGCACAGTTGGGAGAACATTGACCAGTTCATGAGCATTTATTTGAAACAAAAATGTTTTGTAACATTGTAAATGTCTTTACTGTCACTTTTGATCAATTTAATGCATCCTTGCTGAATAAAAGTATTATTTAAAAAAACAATATCTTACTGATCCCAAACTTTTGAATGGTAGTGTGTAATGCACAAATTAATATAGGAACTATAGTTTTCCTACTTTCAAAAATACTGCTAGAAGTTGATCTTTGAGAGAGAAATCTATAAATTACATTTTACACCAGGAAAAGTCATGGAAACATCATGGAGGCTTGGATATACTGGACATCAAACTCTCTTCTCTCTTTTTAAAGTGCTGTATGACCCTTGTGCCTTGAAATGTGATGTTTTTAGCAATAATATAGAATATATGAAACATGCACCAAATGATTAATAAGCAAACACAATCATTTGCTCTTATTCAGCTCCGTAATCAGAGTAATTGTGTTCTGCATGCTGTGTGTCTTGGCTGTCGTCTGTGGCGTGTGAAGGCATCATTGTGTGCATGGGCAAGACTCTGTGTGCTGCAGCTGGGTCTTACCCACCATACTGTTCTCATGCACCACTGCTTAGTGGCGTTACCCATAGACAGCTGTCTGATGGGTCCTTCATCATCTCTTATACTCATTGAATCTTTGTTCATCTGAATAAAAAGACCTAACCTAAGTTCATCTAACTATGAAGCTTAACTAAACGCTTCTTGACTAAAAGTCAACTTTTAAGTCAATATTAACATTAATTAATCCCTTTAATGCACATTCCTAGTCTTACTGCGCTTGATTCATCATTGCTCGATATTCCAAAGAAAAAATGTCTTCCTAATTTTTCGGAACTGAATATCTTGCTCTTTTGGCCAATGTTACCTTAGATAAACAGTTATCTGTCTGCAATTCTGCCAATAATGTAAAAATGGAGTAATTTGGTAATGTTAATATAATACAATAGAGTATACAGCAAATTTTCCGATTAACAAATTATTACAAAAGATACTTCCAGTGGGATACCATGACATTTTCTCAAGGGTGAACTTGACCTGAAACAGTCAAAAGGCCTTCTCGGAATTCACTGCAAACTCTGATCATGTTCCATTCTCTTATGAAATTCCTACGTTTTGTGATCCAGTCAGTTCCTGATAGATAAAATCAATTCCCATTCTACATTTTCTTTCTTTGCCGAATATCCTGCCGGACATGCATCACGGAAGTCTTTTCATGTTGACTTTTAACAACTCAGCTAAAATATTAGTTCAGTGATATCATGTTTATGATATAATACTTTTTAGATTATAATTATTAGAAAATAAAATGTTTAATACTTATAATAAGACAATTTGAACAAAAAACTAATAATTTCCAGAGTTGCGCTATAAAAGGGATGAAAGCATTGCATTGGCTTTGTCTGCCAATGCTTTATCTGTGACCATGTGGATGTTCCAGATATGAGGTTTCATGAAAACCTGACCCACGGCTCCCCCGCCCATTCCTTATTCCCCCTCACGTTGGTTCAGCTGACCCACTCACACCCCATTACTTCCAGTGAGAGTGCTTGTGTGGGGCGTTAAACTGACTAGCGAGTTTGTATGGCTCCTTTTAAGGATCATATAAGCTACAGCACTCCCATTGTCTTCCGCATTGCAGGTGACCGGCTGAGTGCCATACTGAATTCCGTTCAGTCTGGGCCTTTCCTCCCAACTCCTTCCATATTTGAGCAAGCTGCCAAACCTCCCTCTTCCCTTGTCCACAGCCCATTTGTGTTTGGACAATCCCTTTCCCAGCAGCCTCAACCGCATCCACAGCTTCCGAGTAAGTCTGTCCGTCTATAAGGTAGTGGCGGTGCTTGCTTACACAGGTGCTGCTTGTTCTTGTCTTAAGCCCTTAATTGTTTAGTATCCCTTAGGTTGTGATGAGTTCTGTTCAGGCTTATTTCCCCTGCTTTTCTGTCGGCGTCCACCCGCTTGCTTGCTATGTTTGAATTGGTGATTCTTTTCTTTCTCATCTCATTTAAACTGTAGTGGCCGAATAACATTTAAATTCATCTTTTGTATTTCCACTGTTGCTACTAACAGTATGTTTCATGTCAGATGTTTCTGTTGACTTGATTGCAGTTTAATTTTATTTGCTTGCTTACATGTAGAGTGATTAATTTGATTATTCATTAGCAAAACAGTTACCAAGAGGTCCAGGAATCTGTCCACACAATCAAAACCATGCAGTGCTTTTGCATTTAACCCCAAGTGTAATTCAAAATGCACTAATGTCTGCATAAGGAAAATGAAATTGGGTTTTTTGGATTTGAAAGTGTCTCAATATTTCCACAGCCAGAATACTCTTAATCTGCTTTCCACATTCATTACAACTCATCACTCAACCATTTTATTCGGACTTATCTGCCATCCTTCCTGCACTGGTTGATTCCCAGTTTTGTTTTAGCATTGTCCCTGCTTCTACCAGTCTCTGTCTCTCTCACAGTGTCTGTCCTTCTTGTTGCTTTTTCTCGATTCATATATCTTTCTAGTGCCCTGGCCTATATGTTCCTCTGGCCCTGTTAACACCTAGTATTGACATCCATCTCTGGTGATCCGATCACCAATTACACGGCTTTAATGGGGTTGCAATGCATATCATTTTTGTCAGCCGATTTGGAGGTAGTCAGAATCCACATTGCATTAGTCGTGTAAACTGACCTGCTACTACTTCACTGCACACAAACAATGGTTTTAAATCGTAAACTACCTGTCTTTAAGGAAATATTAAATTTGATATAAAAAATATATATATATACATACATATACATGACTTAACAGAAGTTCTCTGCAGTAACAGAGATCATGTAAAATACCCAGTTAATAGTCAAGTCACCTTTATTTATGTAGCACATTATACAATACAGATTGTTTCAAAGCAGCTTTACAGTGATAAACAGAAACAATTAGTTTCATGAATTCAGTTCAGTGTTGATTCAGATCCGTTTTAAAGATAATCAATTATTAAATTAGTTCATTTCATCTAGAACAATGATTCTTTGGAAGTTGCATAATTAAGATGCATACTTTCTAAAACGGTCTTTATGTAGGACACCTGTGGTGCCTTAAAATTCAGCTTTACCTGTTCACTGGGTTTCTGAACAGAGCAACTGGCGTAGTAAGGTAACAGACGCATTTGAGATGCATGCAAATACCAGGTGTAAACTGAAATCTCTTGGCTGTCCACTTGTGATTAGATCACCCAAAACAAATGTTAATATCAGTTTTAAACAGGGCCAGAGTCATTTTCTCATACCAGTACTCTACGTCATTCATTGGCTCTCACTCTCTTTCTCATTTTCTGATCGTTTTCCTTGGTTCAAGCCTTGTTGCTTACTTTCCTTGCCACTGTTTTCCGCTGTAGATGCTTCATCATGCAGCCTTGCTTCACGTGAGCGTGTGCACAAAAGCAGTGCGACCGGCCCTGGCACCGCTCTATCATCTCTTGTTCTCAGACAAAAGGGTGGGTAATGCATGTCTTCTCCTGGGAGCACCCTGGAGACTCACTACAGGGATGGGTTTCATGTCATCCTCTCTACCACAGTCTATTTATTTCCCCTCTTAGGCATGGCAACAGAGTATGTACAGTGCTTTGGAATATATATGGGGGACCGTTTTATAGGCTTGACGAAACATTTCACATGACCTGGGTGCTTTCCATTTGCATCAGTTATTTATGCATCGTGCTACCTTAAAAATTACTTAAATTCTTGTATAAAGACATTCAAATTTAAGGTAATTCTTGGATTTCAGTGGATACTTGTCAATGTTATTTTTACATCTATTGTTTTACATTTCATTTCTTAAGTTCCTGTTGTTATTTTTTACCTTTTATTTTTAGGTGCCATAATTATTTTATTGTCTTGATTTTTTTCTTACTCCCTACATATGTGAAAAGGCCTGACAAGACTTACCCCCTGCATAAATGAGTTGCGCATTGGTAACTGTTGGTGTTATAATACGCAGGTGACAGGGATAACATGGCCAGTCGGTCTATGTCTCCAGGCAGCAAGCATCGCCAAGAGAGTCGATCCTCCAAAACCGACAGTCACTCTAGCCGATCTGTTGACCAGGTGAAGAGCAAGAACAATGACAGTCTGTCTGCCAGCGAGGCCCTCATTCTCAAATCGGACACTGGCAAACTGAGGTCTGACTCTCACAGCCGCTCTCATTCCCCCAACCACAACACCCTACAAGCCCTGAAAGCTGATGGCCGAACCTCAGGCCTTAGGGCTGAGTCTCCAAACCCTGGTTCCCGTTCCTCCTCACCAAAACAAAAGTCCCTCACCTCTGGCAGATCTAGCCCATCCAGCACCAGTTCCCCACGCTCATCCTCTCCTCATGATAAGAACCTGCCCTCTAAAGTAAGTCCTTCTTCTAAAGCTCACCTGGACCCTCCCCGTGAGAGATCCAAATCTGACTCCTATACGCTGGACCCTGACACACTTAGAAAGAAGAAGATTCCTCTCATGGAACCTCTGAGGGGCAGGTCTACATCACCCAAACCAAAAGTCTCACCCAAAGAGAGCAAAGGAGGAAGCAGCAATGCTGAAAACCGAGCCCCATCTCCCCATGTAGTTCAGGAAAACCTCCACAGTGAAGTGGTGGAGGTGTGTAGGTCCAGCGCCTTGCTATCCAATGATGAAGCCAATGATGAGAATGCAGAGTTGAACAATGCTGAAGAGGGCTCCTCCAAGGTCCACTTCAGTATTGGAAAAGCCCCGGTCAAGGAGGAACTTGAAAGTCGTTCTTCACCCAAAGTCAGCCGTAAAACCTCCAGCAGGCATGTGAGACCTAAAAAAGACAAATCCGGGCCACTCTTTAAAGGTGAAAACGTGCGTCCTACTGAACCCGCCAAGCAAGCCATGTCACCTTCTGTTGCGGAATGTGCTCGTGCTGTTTTTGCTGCTTTCCTGTGGCATGAGGGCATAGTACATGATGCAATGGCATGCTCTTCCTTCCTCAAGTTCAACCCTGAGCTGACCAAAGAACATGCACCCATCCGTAATTCTCTTAGCTGCCAGCAGGGTTTTGACGAGAAGGAGAACAAACTAAAGAACCGCCACTCTCTGGAGATCTCCTCGGCCCTCAACATGTTCAACATATCACCACATGGCCCAGACATTTCCAAGATGGGTAGCATCAACAAGAACAAGGTTCTGTCCATGCTGAAAGAACCACCTTTACCTGAGAAGTGCGAGGATGGAAAAAATGATGCAGTCTCTTATGAGATGACCAGCCACTCCTCCATGAGGTCTAAGTCCATCTTGCCTCTCACCCTCCAGCACTTAGTAGCTTTCTGGGAGGACATATCCATGGCTACCATAAAAGCGGCTACACAGAACATGATTTTCCCAAGTCCAGGATCCAGTGCTATCCTTAAAAAGAAGGAGAATGAAAAGGATGGCAAGAAGACCAAGAAAGAGAAGAAGAAGAAGGATAAAGCCGAGGTGCGTCCCAGGGGGAACCTCTTTGGGGAGATGGCACAGTTAGCTATGGGAGGCCCAGAAAAGGATACCATCTGTGAGCTGTGTGGAGAGTCTCACCCATACCCTGTTACGTACCACATGAGACAAGCCCACCCAGGTATAGTGCCATGAATTCTTGGGTATTATTCAGAAAGTTAAAAGACCGACGTATGGAGATCATTCATCAGTGTGCTTTATTGTGTTCTCTCAGGTTGTGGCCGATATGCTGGAGGTCAGGGCTATAACAGTATTGGTCACTTCTGCGGAGGCTGGGCTGGTAACTGTGGAGATGGTGGAATTGGAGGAAGCACCTGGTACCTGGTGTGTGACCGTTGTAGAGAGAAGTACCTGAGAGAAAAACAAACAGCTGCTAGAGAAAAGGTATGCCTGTCATTACCAATGTAGGAAAATACATAATGTTTGTAAATATTGCATGTCTAAAACACTGTATACATCTTCCTTGGGTTTAACCCGTTGGTTCTTGGATCAGGTTAAGCAGTCAAGAAAGAAACCTCTACAGGTGAAAACCCCACGGGCTCTGCCAACTATGGAGGCCCACCAGGTGATCCGTGCCAATGCACTGTTCCTGCTGTCTCTGAGCAGCGCCGCTGAGCCTAACCTGCTTTGCCATCACCCACCCAAACCCTTCCACTCACACCTGCCCAGCCTCAAGGAGGGAGTGTCTGAGGAACTGCCCAACAAGATGGGCTGCCTCTATCTGCAAACCCTAGCCCGGTAAATACATTGTGTTTACCTTGATCACCATGACCAAGAGCAGCCTTATTGTAGGAATTCAATGTATTGAATCTGCATTGTATTGAGTTTTTATCAATATCCTTTTTGCAGTCAACACACTGAGAACTTTGGGGCCTATCAAGACGACAACCTGTTTCAGGATGAGATGCGTTACCTGCGTTCTACGTCAGTCCCTGCTCCCTACATCTCAGTCACCCCAGATGCCTGCCCCAATGTTTTTGAAGAGCCAGGAAGTAACATGAAGTCTATGCCCCCAAGGTACTGTAACAAGCTTCCCATCTCCCAAAGTGCTATGTTCTAGTAACCTAGTTTCTATGAAGATTTTATGCTTCAGGTATTCTTATTATTTCTGTAAGATGTCTTCTTTTTTTTTTTTTACTTTGTTTCTTTAGTTTGGAGACAAGTCCAATCACAGACAGTGACACAGCCAAACGGACAGTATTCCAGCGGTCATATTCAGTGGTTGCCTCTGAGTATGATAAGCAGCACTCAGCTTCCCCAGCACGGGTCAAAGCAGTGCCGAGACGCAGGGTACACAGTGGGGATGCAGGTACTGTTGTGTCACTTTGTAAAACAAAATTACAAATGACTCTGTATTACCATAATTTACTGTGTAAGCTTCAAGAATGCTGAAACTGATTATATGCACCAGTAATACATAGCTTAAAATATTGCCATATTTACCTATAACTTTTTTAAGCAATGTTTGAGTACTTGAATCGTCATAGCTTGGAATGAATTCATTGAAACTGTCAGTACAGGAAAAGTGATAGCTGACCAGAAATATTAGATGCCACTGTTTATTTGATTTGTAAATATTAACACAGTTTACTTTCTAAAATGGTGGTATTGCGATGATTTGCAATACTCTTAAGTTAAGATAAAATATTTAAAATCTAAGTGAAATATTCTTGTTTCTACAGAAGTTGGGTCATCACTGCTTCGTCACCCTTCTCCTGAGTTGTCTCGGCTGATCTCAGCCCATGGCTCTCTAAGTAAAGGTGAAAGGAACTTCCAGTGGCCCGTGTTGGCATTTGTTATCCAGCATCATGACCTAGAGGGCCTGGAGGTGGCTATGAAGCATGCACTCCGCAAATCAGCCTGCAGGGTGTTTGCCATGGAGGTCAGCGATATTCTTTCAGACATTCCTCAATTTCTAATTTCATTCCTCTTCTTCCTGTCCCAAATTGTTCAGGCATAGACAAACTTTTGAATAATAACTATTAATGAGAGGGTTCCAATAATCATGGAAAACCTGGAAAAATCAGGGAAAAATCATAAATGAATAAAATCTGAAAATCATCAGCTGTCATTAAAGCTGCAGTCCGTAGCTTTTTTGGGGTTAAAAATGATCCAAAATACATATTTGAGAAAATACATAACCAGCCAGTGTTCAAAACTATCTGCTTGCCTTAGCTCGATTCAAAACGGTAAGCTTGTAATAATGTTTTTAATTCCAGTGGTACTAGTGGATTTCTGCGGGAGATTCGAGCATGTCTTTGCATCATTACGTCAACTTTTTTACACATAAAGAAGGAGTCTCGGCTAGTCGGCTATGTTGCGTGTGAGGATGCTGGAGGTAGAGATTTATAGCCTTTTCTCACACCACTTGATATAAATAAACTTATCAATTTGATGGCGGATCCAGAAAGGTTCAAACGACAATCACCAGTGACAACAGATTCACCCGCTGTAAAATGCAAAAGACTTCGTTCGGACTTCGGAGAGACTAACTTAAAGAAATAAATAGACTGCAACCGGCCCATGCGAAAACAAGGATACATATCGGAAGGACATTACATGTAGTCACGCAATGCTGACGTTGTTAACATTAACAATTTGAGAACAAAGTATAATTTGCACGGTTTTGCGTATGATAAGCGATTTTTAGATTTAATCAGCACGATTTACTGCAATGTCAGAACCAGAACAAAAGTGGATGTTTCTTACTTGTTCAGATGACATTTTCCGGTGAAAATTATTATGTTGGTCATACTTCCAAAAAGAATAATCTGTGATTGCGAATGCCAGTATCCACACCGGCGCGGTGACTGACAGCCGCACAGTCTCCTCAAACATTGTGTTCATCCGCGCTGTGCCGTGTCGAACTACTACTCATGTAGAGTTAATAATTCCGCGAATGACTGCAATTGCAGATTTCGAACAGAGATGGCGACAAAGAGGAAAAACTGCGGACTGCAGCTTTAAATTCTTTTTTTTTTTATGAAAGAAATCACTGTTAAACATCCTTGTCGAGTTTCTCTTAAACCTTTTGTTCTGTGTTTCCTCCTTAGGCCTTTAATTGGCTGCTGTGTAACGTTACCCAGACCACCTCCCTCCATGATATCCTGTGGCACTTTGTGGCGTCTCTGACTCCGTCTCCCTTTGAGACGGAAGAAGAGGAGGATGAGGAGAACAAAGGGAACAAGGAGAACCTTGAGCAGGTGTGACCTGATGATAACACTTCCAATGGTTTATTAATAAGTCACTGTTCATTTGTGATGAAAAGGTTTCTGACATGGGGCAGTTTTCCTTCTTTCTTGCAGGAGAAGGATTTAGGTGTCTGCGAGCACCCCCTGTCTGACATCCTCATCGCAGGAGAGGCGGCTCACCCGCTGCCCCACACCTTCCACCGTCTACTCCAAACCATCTCCGACCTTATGATGTCTCTTCCCAGTGGAAGCTCACTTCAGCAGATGGCCCTGAGGTATCTTCTGCCTCTGCATAGAAACACCATTAGCAGCCTATGACAATCTAGCAACCTCATATAAACATGCTAAAAGAACTCGGCCTCATTACACAACTCACATTTTCTTCAAAAATATACAAATCTAGTAACTTTTTGCTGTTTCACTAGGTGTTGGAGCCTTAAATTCAAACAGTCAGATCATCAGTTCCTGCACCAGAGTAATGTATTTCACCACATCAACAACATCCTGTCCAAATCAGACGATGGGGACAGTGAAGAGAGTTTTAACATCAGCGTACAGTCGGGATACGAAGCAATCAGTCAGGTGGGAATATTTTCATCAACTTCATCAGACTTTTTTTCCCTGTTGCCTTTACATTTGTTTTGTTTTTTATCTAAAACACCTTATATTGCATTCAAGGTTTACATTTGACATATATTGCAGGAACTTTGTGTGATGACCTGTCTGAAAGATCTGACTAGCGTGGTGGACATTAAAACATCCAGTCGACCAGCCATGATTGGCAGCCTGACTGATGGCTCCACTGAGACGTTCTGGGAGTCTGGAGATGAAGATAAGAACAAAACAAAGAGCATCACTATAAGCTGCGTGAAAGGCATCAATGCGTCATATGTCTCTATCCATGTTGACAACTCTCGTGACATTGGAGTGAGTTTGCGAACAGTTGTTCTTTCTGTTTGTCTGTCTGTTCTTTGTCAGTCAGTATATTAATAATACTCTGCTGGCAATTCTGTATATACACTTAATGAAGTGTTCAAAGTACATAAAACCTTCAGATATGGTATTTTGGCTTGACAATTTTCTAGTTTTTGTTTTTTGTAATTTCCTCATTTTAATACATGTGGCCATAAACAGCAATTGATTTATATAACCTTTGCTCTGTTTTCTGTCAGAATAAAGTCACATCAATGATATTCCTTTGTGGGAAGGCTGTGGAAGATCTCTGCAGGATCAAACAGGTAGGACTTTGAATTTTCACGTTGATATGCGTCTACACCAGATGCACTGCAGTTTAGGGGTGTCCCCGACTAAGGATTTTTATAGTCGAATCAGATTCGTCAAGTCCTGCCTATAGTCGACTAATAGTCGAATCATGTGTGTGGTGTTGGGGAGGGGGCGGGGCTTTAACATTTTAAAGCCGTGATGTACAGAACATCACACAAAGATATAGAAGAAAATGTATAAAAACATTTTGGATCAATAAAACTAAGAAATAACATAAATAACTACAGAAAGGCCACACTGCAGATAGGATTTGCATTTCACATGCAAATCAAATTAAATCGGCTGAATTGCCTGTACGAGCATGCTCTAAGTAGGCCTACAGCGCAACATCGATGCACTGAAAAATAATCAACAATTAAGAACACAATATACATTTATAATAAATAAAAATACAAAACTAAATAAGTCAGAATCAAGTCACAAGAAGCAGAACAAATGTGTGCAAAATGCCTAAAGTGCAGGGGAACAAATATTCAAAACACAAGTCACAAATAGTTAAATTAGATCACCCTGAGTGATCAATTAATTAAATAAAAATAAAGAAATTATTAAAATAACGAAAGTATGGCCAGGATTGTCAACTTTGTCTTTTTAACTGCAGAAACAATAAACGCTAAACTGGAGCCGCAGTCTTTTTAGCTAAACGTGTTCACAGTATCCAAAAATCAAATTAGAACCGGCTGAAATGTTTTGAAATCACTTGTACCCATACCTGATCGAAAAAAACAAAATCCAGTCTTTCACTCGGCCTGTGTCCGTTTGAGTCTTTTCAAATTGTCTGCGCGGATAAAATACATTCTAAAACGCTTAACGTGAAAAACGCTTAACGGCTTTGTCCTAAAACTGTTACTGTTATATTAAAAGATCAAATTCTGTACACACCTTATTAATAAAGCATACGGTACTATATAGCCTACAGAAAAGCAGATGAGCCCAGAATATGAACGCAACGCGTTTTATTATAGGCTACGTTAAGCATTTTCCTCCCATAGAAAACCGTTAAAGAAAAAGCTTTACGTGACTTTCTATAGGAGAAACGCGTTGCGTTCATATTCTGGGTTCATCTGCTTATCTGCACATAGAATGGTTTCTTAAGGTGTGTAGCCTACTGTGTACATAGGCCTACATTAAGCACGTAAAAGTGCCATTTAAGCGTTTTAAAGCTTTTTTCACGTTAAGCGTTTTAGAACGTCCCGAGGAAAACCAACCTGTTAACGTTGGCTGGCAGAAGTGCGATCATGGTTTTCCTGATGCTAAATCCAGCCTTGGAGAATATCCTTTCTGATGGTGTGCATCTTTAGATTTTCTTGTCCCAGACATTTTTAAAGATTTAAATCCCTGCCGACAAGACGCTCCTCTGTCGGTCACGGATCGAAAGTGAAACTTAAATCTGTCACGGGGTGTTTGGATTTATTCACGCTGCACGCACGTTAAAAAATATTTATTAAAAGCTTCTTTCTTTGCACATTTTTATTGACAGCATTATCATAATAGGCTGTATATTAACGTATTGACAGAAAACCAGTAGTTCTATGTGAAATCAGACATTGAGCAAACTCATATAGCCAAAATGACATAATCCTCGTTTAATAACACATCTGCGAAGATTCGACCGTGAGATTGGTAGTCGAATCAGGCTCCTCCTATCGAATCTTCGACTATTCGGGGTCACCCCTACTGCAGTTAATGGATTTTCATGCTGATATGTGTCTATACCAGATGCACTGCTGTTAATTCACTTTAACAGGCTGGGTTGTACACATTTTTTTTGTTTTTTACTTTGGCCTGTTTGAATTTATCAAACTTGTTTTCATTTCCTTGATATTTAAATAGATGTATACTATTCCACTTGTCTATGTAGATTTAGATGTAGAGTGACTTCATAAATTAAATTAAGAAAGATAAGCTAGTTGCTCACCTTTTTATTGCACATATCAATAAATTATTGGATACCAAGCACTGGTAATTACCATAACGTCCAGAATAATAGGTAGATTTTCATTATGCAATGACTATCGTTAAATACAATGTATATTATTATATTTCGAAATACATTTACAAATGCATTGTTTCAGCATTTATATTTACTGGGGTAATGTTTTTAAAATAGAGAAGCAATTTAGACACAATACCATATTTTCTTATTAGTCGAAATGAATGTTTTTACAATTTGGTAAATGACAGAAAAATGTGTTAAAACAACCTCTTGTCAGTACTTCTGCATGTCACATTAATTTAATTTTGAGTTGAAAAAGAACTTTAAACTCATAGTCTTGAGGTTGAGGAGCTACAAGGCAACAACCAAAATGTCTGCATGGAAATGTAGATCACCAGACCAGCGTCTGGGTCCCTAAGGGTCTTCTGGGACATTTCACTGAATGGTCTTTTTGTTGTCTCAGATTGACTTAGACTCAAGGCACATGGGCTGGGTGACCAGCGAGCTGCCTGGAGGGGACCACCATGTGATCAAGATCGAGCTTAAGGGTCCTGAGAACACACTTAGGGTTCGGCAGGTCAAAGTGCTTGGCTGGAAGGAGGGCGATAGCATCAAGATTGCTGGGCAGATATCAGCCAGTGTAGCCCAGCAGAAAAACTGTGAAGCTGAGACGCTGCGTGTCTTCCGCCTTATTACGTCACAGGTAAGCCCAGAACCCTCACAGGAAGCTAAACCTGCACCCGCAATACTTAACAGAATACCTGACCCGTTATACAACAGCAGCACTTATTTAATTCTGTACCTGCGACTTGACCCGTTTGACATAAAGACCTCCACCTGAACTGCACCCGCATTAGCAACTTGGAAAACGTAACATTTATCCAAATTGTGAATGGAAACAGAAAGTGAGCAAAGTACACTCCCTTTATAAACACTGTGAACCTGTCAAATGCTTCAGTTCAGTGAAACTTCTACAGAAAACACCTGGTATAGTCAACCTGACTACACTGCACCATAAATCTTTTATTTAAATCGTGTCCACACACTATGTTGGTTATAATGAGAGGATTCGTGAGCATGCAGAACTCAGTCAGTGAACAAGTGCTGAACTGTTTTGATTCTGTCTATCTTAAACACCTCCGATTGGCCGTTACAATGCTCAACGCTGCTAAACGCATTGTAAATGCATACCTTTGACACACTTCAGTGCGTAAACTCAAATATGCAGGGGAGCGTTTGAAAACCATCTCGACGGGTCACTAAGGCTGTTTTCACACAAATCGCAGTATACCACCATACCAGAGACATTGATTATACATCAAACACTTTTGTGTGAATTTTTTTTTTTTTTTTTTTAGCATTTCAAACACTCATTTCTGGATATTGTTTTAAGGGAAGGCCAATAGTATAATAGTCATGTTGATGTGTTCGTGTAGGTATTTGGAAAACTAATTTGTGGGGATGCAGAACCAACACCAGAACAAGAAGAGAAGAACCTGCTCTCCTCACCTGAGGGTGAAGACAAGGTCAGTACCAGCATCTGTCGTGTTTGGTGGCTCCTTTCAATCATTGCTTAATGCCATATGTGTTGAAGCATGAGATGAAATTGGTCAATTCTGTTGAAATGTTTCGTCTTCAGGCTCCATCTGATGCAGACTTGAAGGAACACATGGTTGGCATTATTTTCAGCAGGAGTAAACTGACCAACCTTCAGAAACAGGTAAACACCAATAAAACTACTCTAGGCTCTCTAGAAAACCTAGTGAGCTGCCTAAAAATCCAGATGGTGGACAAAGTGAGAGAAGTGTTGAATATAAATATACCATATATATATATAAGTTAAATACCAAAAATATAAACAAACATTGTTCATCTAATGAAAAATCGATTGTTTAGCCACTATTTTTGATTTATTAGAGTATTGCATTATTTGTTTAGCAACATGCTAAAGCAGCGTTTTCACTGTCTCTGGCATTCGCTTAAGATTGCCGCATTTCACCCCCAGTGGCAGTCGCATGGAACTGTCAAACTGGTCGTGAAGCAGCAGTTACCTACTACTTATTCACCATGGTCAAATTAATGAATGTATGAAAATATCCACACAAAACAAGTATGTTTGAACGAAAAGCAAGTGGTTTTTCTAGGGCTAAATGATAGGCTAAATTCCTAGGGCTAAATGATAATAAGTATTTAACAATTATAAATTAATTATTTCAGACAGAATTATTCATAACTGCCCATTTTAAAGTAGTAGTATTTAGGATTATCATTTAGTAGATAGTAGTTTGATGATATGCGTTTACCAGCCGTAGCGAACTTTTCCGTGAAGTGCACTATCCAACTCCTGAAACGAACTCCAAACAAACTTAGTTTTGGCCTGATTTAGTTTGATATGTCACACCAGTTCGTTCTTTGATTTTGCTTGACCGTTTGCCTCCCTTAGGTATGTGCCCATATCGTCCAGGCCATCCGTATGGAGGCCACGCGTGTGCGTGAGGAATGGGAGCACGCCATCTCCAGCAAAGAGAATGCGAACTCTCAGCCCAGCGATGATGACGCCTCCTCTGATGCGTACTGCTTTGAGCTGTTGTCTATGGTGCTGGCCTTGAGTGGATCTAACGTTGGCCGGCAGTATCTAGCCCAGCAGCTCACCCTACTGCAGGACCTCTTTTCCCTACTTCACACTGCCTCGCCACGTGTCCAGAGACAGGTTTGTGAACGCTTCATGAACCGCGAGTCTTAAACTTGACTTTCTAGTATCAGGATCTGATATGCAACACTGTGCTTGCCATGCAGGTGACGTCCCTGCTCAGACGCGTTCTTCCTGAGGTCACTCCTATGCGCTTGGCCAGCGTCATTGGCGTAAAGGCGCTACCACCAGCAGACATCAGTGACATCATCCACTCCACTGAGAAGGGCGATTGGACCAAACTGGGCATATTAGATATGTTTTTGGGCTGCATCGCCAAGGCCCTCACTGTGCAGCTCAAGGCGAAGGGCACCACTATAGGTGGCACAGCTGGCATGGCAGCAGGCAAAGGGGTTACTACAGTCACCCTACCCATGATCTTCAACTCAAGGTCAGCTGGCTTGCAATTGGCCATTCTTAAATTTGATTTGAGAATTGTTTAAAATACTTCATAAAATTTAAGTGGGATTAATCACATTGTGCATTTAAAGAGTTAGTTCACCCAAAAAATGAAACTTCCGTCATCATTTACTCACCCTCATGTCATTCCAAACCCATTAGACTTTCAAAAAACAAATTAAGATATTTTTTAATGAAACCTAAAAGAGATTTTTGCCCCTCAATTGAAAGGTTGTTACACCAAAACATTGACGCTTCAAAAAGTTCATAAAGAGATTGTAATACACATCCATATGAATCGAGCAGTTTATTCAAAAATGGTAAACGAAGCGTGAACATGCTTGCGTGACACGCAAGAAAAAACTTTGGTTCTTTGGTTCTCGCACATCATTTGAGCTTCCAGCGTTACTATATTTGATGTGCTCTATGTATGTGCATTGATTAATGTTTATATAAGAATAAAAGCCTAAATTAAACTTCGTTATATAAAGCAATCATGTCTCTTCTGAAGGCTTGGTTTAGATGCGGTTAGATGATTTATATGGATTATTTTTATGATGTCTTCATGAACTTAGTTTGAAGAAAATGAAGTTTTGGTGTAACTGACTTTCAGTAGATTTTAATTTGATTAAAAATATCTTCATTGTGACAAATGTTTTTTGCTGGCCACACTATTTTTTTATTATAAATATGTATATTTAATAACCTTTTATTGGTGTTTGTGCAGCTACATACGGCGTGGATTGAGTCACTGGTGGATGAAGGGCTCCACTCCACCCCAGATCGCTGAGATTATCATTAAACTAGTCAAAGACATGGCTGCCGTGAGTAGTAATGGCCCATCTAATCCTGAACACCATTTTCATCTTAATATGCAGCAGATTTGCTGTTCAGCTGCATGTTTATGAATGATATAATATATAATCTTCCACTGCTTAACTTGATCTCCTGCAGATGTGTTTAATGCCTTTGCAGAAATGGTCCTTCATCATTTAAGTGTCTTTTTACCCCAGGGACACCTCTCGGATGCCTGGTCCAGGGTGACTAAGAATGCTATTGCTGAGACCATCATTGCTCTCACTAAGATGGAAGAGGAGCATCGCTCTCCAGTGCGCTGCATTGCCACCACTCGGGTACGACTCCACTGCACTCACTCTGTCACAACTGAACATTTGCAAACTAGGTCAGTATTACTCAGGATCCTTCAGTTAGAGGTGTCAGATAGAGATCAACAGCAGGATGAAATGCAACATTCTTAAAACAAATAATTACTTTTATTATTATATAGATGAATATGAACAGGTCCAAAGTCATGGAAAACCTGGAAACATCATGAAATTTTGTTTTTATTTCTATGCTTCCAAGTCAAGTCACCATTTAAATAACGCTTTTAACAATATAGATTGTTTCAAAGCAGCTTTATAGTGATAAAAGGAAATTAAAGTAACAGATATTGTTTTGGCTTTACAGCAGCTCTAGAATAAAGTTATTGTCTAGCTAAAGTTAGTTTTGATTGATTCACTTCCATTGCAAAGATCATTAGTTATTAACTTAGGGCCCGCGAACACGACACCGTTCTAACAGAAAAACCCTTAATGTGATCCTGCCGCTCATTTGCACAACAACAGTGTGCAACACAACAACAGCTTTAAAAATTTTACCTCAAAAGAAAAACATTATACAAAAAAAACCCCTCAAAATATTATACCAACTACAAATATAACACATAAATAACCTTTTTATAAATATATTAAAATAAATATAATCCCTAACCAGGACTGGAAATGACTTTAAAAGTCATGGAAATTCACTGGGCAATGTGTGTTTGAAAGACTTCTTTATAAAATTCAAATTTTTCTACTTCCTCTCTTTAGCTGTGGCTCGCATTGGCCTCTCTGTGTGTTCTGGACCAGGACCACGTGGACCGACTGTCTTCAGGTCGCTGGATGGGCAAAGATGGGCAGCAGAAGCAGATGGTACGGCACATTGCGCTAAATAGGCCTCTGGGATGCTATAAAGCACAATCAAGTTAATTACAGTCCTTCAGCCGAGAATGAGCTGTTTACCTCTTCACCCTGACTTTTATTTCCCAGCCCATGTGTGATAATCATGACGACGGAGAGACGGCAGCCATCATTCTGTGTAATGCATGTGGAAACTTGTGCACTGACTGTGACCGGTTCCTCCATCTCCACCGGCGCACACGTTCCCACCAGAGACAGGTGAACCCCGAGCGCTCACACAGATCTAATCCGTGTCCGTTTGATCAATTATGGTGCACTACTAGGGTTCAGAAGAAGCGTGTAGTTACTGGCTGGTTGTTCAAATGACATCATGTTGTTAAAAATACACACTTGAGATATAATTATATATTATAATAAATGGTACACTGTCTTGTGCAGGTCTTTAAGGAGGAGGAGGAAGCCATTAAAGTGGACCTACATGAAGGTTGCGGTAGAACCAAACTCTTTTGGCTCATGGCATTGGCTGATTCCAAGACCATGAAGGCCATGGTGGAGTTCCGGGAACACACAGGTGACTTTTCTTCATTTTGTAATCATGTTTAATAATCTAGAGAGAAGATGGGACATGTTGAGGAGAAGATGGGAAATGTTGCAGTACTGCAGCGTTCATTTTTATTAAGAGACCATATTTGCCGTCTGAATTGATTTTCTCAGAGCTTTAGTTTCAACCATAGTGTTTGTATAAAATATCATATAAAAATATAAATGCATTATATTAATTATAATATTAAAATTTATCGTCATCAAATTATCATAACATGTCCATTTTGAATCAAGTATATAAATTCACAGTTAGAGCAATTATGGCTGTTACCTATGAAATGAATCATACACAAAAGTAGTTGTAATTAATGTACAAGACATAATAAATATTCTGATATATTTTAATAATTGGCTGGTCTGTCTGAGGAGTTTGATATATCGACTGTATCAAGCTTTTGGGTTTTTTGGGAGTGTTTTCTTCATATTCAGTGTTTTCATAGCTGTTAGATAACAGATCAAATCAGAGCAATTCACATCAGGGGTGCTTTGCCCCCACAATTGAATTATCTGGGGCATTTTTGTCACTTTTGCATAATTTCTGACCCTGACCGTTAACTGTTAGGCCACAGCTGTGATGTATCCTATTTTTAGAATTCTTTTTTTATTTGACTAGTGGCTTTATTGTACAAATAGTTAGAGCTAAAATGGCATCATTGTAATGTCCTTTAGGTAAACCAGCTTCCAGTAGTTCAGACGCCTGCCGCTTCTGCGGCACCAGGAACGGCACAGAGCTGTCCGCTGTAGGAAGTGTATGTTCAGACCAAGACTGTCAGGTATTTGCTCAAAATGTTAACATTTTTTGGCAGAATTATATATTTTGTTTACACTGTTAAATGTTTTACTGGAATTAAGTGATCTTACATTGTGCATATTTGTGTGTAGGAGTATGCAAAACTGGCCTGCAGTAAGACTCATCCGTGCGGCCACCCGTGTGGAGGGGTCAAAAATGAAGAGCTGTGTCTTCCCTGCCTACATGGCTGTTTCAAAACTGAAGCCTCTCTGAAACAGGATGCTGATGATATGTGCATGATTTGCTTCACTGAGGCTCTGTCTGCTGCCCCAGCAATCCAGGTACAACAGAATAATGCATACACACATACTGTACATACATACAGGAGATCAGCGTGTAATTATTTGCCCTGGCTTGTTTTCAGCTGGACTGCAGTCACGTGTTTCATCTTCAGTGCACAAGAAGGGTTCTGGAGAACCGCTGGCTTGGGCCTAGGATAACCTTCGGGTTCATGTCTTGCCCTATTTGCAAGGTAAATAAGCTAGTCTGGACTCGCTTTAGGAGAGTTAAAGGTAGGGCTGAAAGTTTAATCAGAATAAAACCGAAATTGCAATATGGCTTAGTGTGATTTATAAAATGACAAAGACCGTGATTTAATGAAGTATATGCGCCATGCGTTTCAGAGTGAAGTGGGCCACTGTGTTCATTTACTCGCGTGAAGCTTATGATCCAGAGTTTTCATTGGAAATGCAACATGCACTAACCATCTTCCCAAACTTGTAGTGAGAAGCGCTTAGGAAAGAGAAGGGCTATAAAGGACTGCTCACAGTTTTCTGCCAAAAAAGCTTGAAGGTTTAACATTTTAAAATGAAGAATTTAAGACATAAATATTAGTATTGTAATTTAAAGGAGAACTCCGGCGCAAAATGAACCTTTGGTCTAATTACACATTGTTACCTAGTCAACCGTTATCTGAGATTTGTTTTCATGATTATCGAATGTAAATAGTTTTATCTCTAAAAACAGTTTAGCCTATAAAGCTAGTATAACGCTAGTATATTGGGCATAGTGTAATGACAAATAAAAATCGCTTGTTAATACCACTAACAAGGCTCAAAATAGCCCCACACTAGCACGGTAGCATAATGAGGGTCCCTACCTTCAAACCGAAGCATTGAGAACTTTGTCAGTGTCCAGACAGTTTAATAAGAAGATATTTTACACATACAGTCAACTTCGCGTATACAGGCAGAAGCCATCTTTGAAATACAGTCTTTACCAGTTGATCTACGAACGCCGATCCAAGTGCGCTGGTGAGATGTGAACGAGCTATAAGTTGTGATAAGGTGAGCGCGAACAGCAGGCTTGGATCGGCGTTCGTAGATCGACTGGTAGAGACTGTATTTCAAAGATGGCTTCTGCCTGAATACGCGAAGTTGACTGTATGTAAAAAATATCTTCTTATTAAACTGTCTGGACACTGACAAAGTTCTCAATGCTTCGGTTTGAAGGTAGGGACCCTCATTATGCTACCGTGTTAGTGTGGGGCTATTTTGAGCCTTGTTAGTGGTATTAACAAGCGATTTTTATTTGTCATTGATCTATGCCCAATATACTAGCGTTATACTAGCTTTATAGGCTAAACTGTTTGTAGAGATAAAACTATTTACATTCGATAATCATGAAAACAAATCTCAGATAACGGTTGACTAGGTAACAATGTGTAATTAGACCAAAGGTTCATTTTGCGCCGGAGTTCTCCTTTAACAGTTGTACTGTAAAATATAGTTGTTTTCTCAAATACCTTACTATATATATTTTTTATTTTACAGTGAAATAGTATTACTACAACAGTAGTGTTTCTTATAGAAATGCACCATACCACTTTTTCCAGATTGAGACAGATACCAATACTTTAATTTTTGGTACTCGCCGATACCAAGTTCTGATAGCTGTATTTTTATTGCATTTGTAAAAAAAAGTTCAATATAATTTAAGTACAATAAAACAATATCGGAAACATCTCAATTAGATTTCCCCCCAAATCTTATAGTTCAAGGGATAATTCATCCAGAAAAGTGAAAATTCTGTTATTTGCTCAGTCATCAGTCATATATCATTCCAAACTATGACTGATTTTCTTCATAGAATGGGAAATTTTGAAGTATGTTGGCATAAATGATGATGAAGTGAGTAACTGATGGCAGTTGAACTATTCCTTTAATGGCTGTGGCATCAAAACCAACCAAATCATCATCATGTTCATGTTCTCTGCAAAATCAAAATCATGTTTTCTGCAAGAACCAAAGCCAAAACTCTATCAGCTAGACAGTGTTCATGACATCCAACGCTCGATGTGACATTTATTTATTTATGTCTGTGCTGTTTTTTTCTTTTAAGAACAAAATAAACCACTCTGTCCTAAAAGACCTGCTGGACCCAATCAAAGAGCTGTATGAGGACGTGAGGAGAAAGGCTTTAATGAGACTGGAGTATGAAGGACTACACAAGAGTGAAGCCATCACAATGTCTGGAGCTCGATTCCACAACAACCCAGCTGGATTTGCCATGAACCGATATGCTTACTACGTTTGCTTCAAGTGCAAAAAGGTTAGATCTTCATGGCACTCTGTCCCTACGCGTTTTCTGTTTTGTATAGTGTTCGCAAATCTTCAGTGGAACACAAGTTTTTCAAGAATCTTCCTGCTATATAGTGGCTGAGGAAACCTTCAGAAGAAAGCAAGCATTTCTCGTTCTCCAGAAAGAAAATAATTGGGTTTGAGTGAACTGTCCCCTTAGAGATGTCTCTGTTTACTTTGAATAGAATGGAAAAACATGGTTGACAAAAAAGATGAAGCGCAGCTCATTCCTGTGGAGGAAGAGTTGTTTGCTTGGCATGACGGCATGAAATGAGATTTAGAAGAACAGGCGTATCATAATCTGTTTAGAAGACATTGCCGTAATGAAGCTGTTTCTCCAGCTGTTGTGCTAACAGTGGAACTTCTTACTCATCCAGGCCTATTTTGGGGGAGAAGCTCGCTGTGATGCTGAAGCAGGACAAGGGGATGATTATGATCCCCGTGAGCTCATCTGTGGAGCGTGCTCAGATGTGTCCAGAGCACAGGTCAGTGGGACAACAGTGGGTTTCGGGGTGGGGAGTGAAGCACATTTCATTTGTGTACCTGATTTTAAACACAATAGAGTGCTGCAGGAATGAATCCCAATACCCAGAAATTCGTTTTTTGTGTGTTTTTTTTTACTTCTGGTTCTGTTGTCCTGAAGTCATTGGGGTTTTTAATGGGTTTTTGGTTAAATGCTTGAAATAAGGTCTGTGTTGAACTTAAAATATGTGGTATTACTGATGTATTTTATGTCATAGAATAAAATCTTGAGCTTGTTTTCTGCAATAATCCTAGTCAATGGAAATATCATATTTGCTTTTTGTCAAAGGAACCAGGCTGGCATACACAAAAATCCCTGCAGCACTTCTGTTATACATTGGCCAGTGGTTGTTATTGTATTGCATGAGGTCCGAAAACCCAAATGATTTATTTTTACAAATTTAAATATTTACTTGGGTGATCATCATGGCTGCATTTCAGTTTATCAACAGGTCTGGTTTCAATCAACTTTAGGGTTTTTCAAAGTTCATTGGTGAATCTCATGAAACCATTTAAAAGAACATGTATTTCACATTAAAATAATTACATTGAAAAAAATATATATTACATTTTTAATCTTGTTGTTTTAAATTATACAAAAGAAAAAAAAACGGTTAAGTACATTTCTCCTCCAAATTTTATAATGCTTTTTGCATTACAAAAGTGTTTGGGTGTTTTCAATACTTTATGGCTAATCATAGCAAAACAGAGAAAGACGGTTGCAAGGTATGTGCTTATTTGGTATGAGTTTGTTTAGACCTCTTTCTCTTTGTTGTAGATGTGCTCTAAACATGGGACAGATTTCCTGGAGTACAAATGTCGTTACTGTTGCTCTGTGGCTGTGTTCTTCTGCTTTGGGACGACACATTTTTGCAACGCCTGTCATGATGATTTCCAGAGGATGACCAGTGTCCCAAAAGAAGAGTTGCCCCATTGTCCTGCTGGTAAAATGCTTTTTCAACGTTTTAAAGAGATATTTACCCAAAAAATGACAATTTGCCGTTCATTTACTCACCCTCAGGCCATACAATATCTAGGTGTTTTTCTTTTCTTTCAGTTTTCAGCTGAAACCGTGGTCTTTGGTGATTTCATATAATGCAAGTCAATGGCTGCCGTCACTTTGAGAGTCAAAAAAACATATAAAGGCAAAGCAAAATGAATACACATGGCTTCTGACGATTCATTGAGGTCTTATTATAGCAACTGCAACTCTTTATGAAAGGGTCGAATCATTATCACAGGGAGAATTTCATTGTATTGTTCCCTTTTACTCATTTGCTTGAAGGTAATACCAAACAAAACAAACTGCTTACCCTTTTATATACTTCAACAAAATAGTCCCAATAATGGAAGTCCATGAATAGGCTCATTGGCCTCAACGCATCAGTAATAAGTAATAAAAAGTAATAACACAAATAATACTCATCAGTCCGATGAATCAGTCCTTTTTCTGCCTTGGGCAGTCAGCAAACCGAAAGTCCAGATGGAAAAATCAAATGTCCCCAAAAAGAGAAATAGTATAAACTGCTGGTTCCAGGCCCCACAAAAACAAAGGTTATCCTCCAGCTGAAGAAAAAAAATATCCTCAGAGTATTGTCTTAAAAAAAAGGCAGTATATTCCAGACTAGAGTGTGCACCTATAAAGCAGCTCAGAAGTCTAATACACCGTGACAATTTTCAGAGATCATTTTTGGACCAATGCTTTTGAGTTAAGGTAGCAAAGGCATACCACCTCACACACACACAACCCTCTTCAAAATGGCCACCCTTCCCTTTTTAAGGGTGGCCCATCATAATTAGTCCTTAGAAGCCAACAAAAGTCCCTCTAACTCCCCCTCAAACAAAAAGCAAATGCTCAAAATCAACATACTCTACATGCAGATGAAAAATAAATAAAAATGTAGGCATGGCACATATACTACCTTTTTTTTCTTTTTTTCTTTTTACTTAAGTGAGCATCGTGCAGGGCTTTACTGTGGCAGTGTCACATTATGAAGGTAAATGATCAGTCTGCAAGAAACTGAACATTATTTACAGCATTATTACCTGTAATCCAAAGCCTTGGCAAACAGTCTTGAGACCGTATTAATTTTGTTTTGCTTGTATATGTTTGGGTTTTTTTTTTTTACTTTCAAAGTGACGGTCGCCCTTGACTTGCATTATATAAATCACCAAGGACTACGGTTTCAGCTATAAATCGTCTTTACTGTTCAACTGAAGAAAAAAAGACACTTTACATCTTTGGATGTCCTGAGGATGAGTAAATTAACAGCAAATTTTCATTTTTGGGTGAACTATCCCTTCAATAACTTCCCACCACCATTTTTGGTTTGCTTGAAACTCATGTATCATCCTTCTCTTGTTGAATAAGCCTTTGTTCAATTACAAGCCGCTTTCAGTTATTGAAACTTTAGCCAACAAATTGGCAAGACAGCATGTTCACTTTCTTTCATTCCTCCCTCACAGGACCAAAAGGAAAACAGTTGGAAGGAAGCGAGTGTCCCCTGCATGTGGTACATCCTCCCACCGGAGAAGAGTTTGCGCTGGGCTGCGGTGTGTGTAGAAATGCCCATACCTTCTAAACGCCATGGTCCTGTAATGATCTCGCTCTATATATATATTCACCCTCCTGTGGCGGCTGACTCCCTCTTCAGCACAGCCTGAGAGCAGATACTAACCGGATGTCCCATACTGAGGGCGCTGGGACTGGCCGCCGTGCTCCAGGGTGCATCCTCCCTCTCTTTAGACACTGAAGAACGGAAAAAAAAACAAAAAAAAAAAACAAATCAAACGTTGTGACGTGTTTGCATGCAGCCGTTGTAACCCTGCGGCTTGTATAAACGTTGCACACCTCCTGACCACTGAAGTCTAACAATGTGTGGAGGATTTTGAACCGAATCGGAGACCACCATGGATGGGCCATGATTTAAGCTTCTCAAAATACAAATTAAAGATTCTATTGTTGTATGTTAACTATGTTTTCGTAATCCTGTACAGTATTCCTTCACTTTGGAGTGCATCATGGTTTGACGGCTAAAGATTCAAATGCTATAAGAGGACTTTAGAATGTTACGCTGGAGGAAAATAGTGTACGATTTATCTAATCTTGTATATAATGACAGTAACCCTTCATATGTGTATTCCGATGTTGCTACTCTACACTTCAGTTTTCTTTGATATTCTGGGTTATGTTTTGAGCCAGAACTTTTAATGAAGTGCAATACTGGGTGTGCCTCCTCGCAGATGTAAACATATGGAATGTATGTCAATAAAGCCACTGTACATTTTTATACAGTGATACACAGGCTCTTGTGTTTTCCCCCCGGCAAAGTACAATATCATTTCTGTAGTCAGAATGTTATCGAGGGGCTTATTGTCTGCGGTGTCTGCCCTTTTGTCTAAATGACGTGGTATAAAACCATTTTTCTGTTATTTTAATTAAAAACAAAAGGTGAGTATGTTCTGCTTTTGTATTGTAAGAACATCTTTGGGGCCAGTCTTCACACCAAATCGAAGAAACGCGAGGCTAAACGAGATATATTAGAAATTGTGGCTATTTAGTGGTTGTTTTGGAGGCATATAGGAAGGAATGTTTGGGGGGTGGGGGTGATAAACAGCTGCTGTAAAAGACAAAAAATGCAACTTGTGAATATGCTTTGTATTATTATCTGTGGATGGAGCTGAATGGTAATAATAAACCGGGTTCTCTGTTCAGCAAGGTACATTACAAAAGGAGTGTCTAGTGCTTTTTTTTCCATCTCATTCATTCATGAAATATGTAAGTTTGAAAATGAAAGCGAAATAGACGACAAATGGGCAGAGCTTGGCGACCTGAGCGTCGTTTCTAATGCTGTACGTCTAAAGATGTGATTTACTGAAATATGTGCGAGGACGTATAAGATTTTGTTGTGTAAATGTAGTCATAAATATGCCACGTCAGAGCAGTTTGCCGTCGGCTCTGTGTGGTGCCTGTGCTGTATGTGAAAAAGATGCAAGAAATACTTTCTTGTACTTCAATACAGAATGCAAATAGTCTTGCCGTATTTTGAATGGATCAAATGTAATTTAATGTGAGGTGATTTTCAAACTGTAGTCTTAAATGTAAAAATAAATAAAAGCCTAACACTGGAATTATCTACAACATTTGGATATAGGTTGGTAAACAATATAATATAACAACAACAATAATAATAGTAACCTTTTTTTCAGTGTCATTTTCACCGAAACGATCCAGACCATAGATGTGTATAATATATATCTATGGTCCACTGATCTGTATAATGATCTCTAGTGGTGGTCCAGTCGGCGTTATTGTCACGTGGTACGTGTCACTTTTCTCCGCTGGCTCGACTAATCAGTAGCTTGTTTGTTTTAGAGTTTGTTTTTAATTTTCTATTTGTATGTCACTCAGATACTAATCGTTGGAAATTACCGGCTATGGAAATTACACATTAAAAAGCGTATATTTCCTAAGTGTCTAAGATAAAAAACTGAATGATGCTCTAAGGGGTGTTCATCTTTCTGAGCCGCCGTGCGCCCCCTAGAGGAAGAACCGTTTGACTCAGGAATACAGCACGGCAGCCGCGCCGCCCAATGCTATTCTCTCTCACACTCGACAACAAGTTACAACATCGCCATTTTCAGCGTCGAGAGGAGGCGGGGACGCTGAAATCTCCCGCGGTACAGAACAGAAGTAGGTCAACCAGAAATATCGCCGAGACATACGTACTCAGACTCCCGAAAAAACGAGATATAACTTCATTAATCTGCGCCCAATCGCTTCCAATGCGTGCGTTCTGCTCTACTCTGATGCGTTCAGGCTCCTGTCCGGGTTGACATTCACACACGAGTTATCAGGATTTTGTTTGTTTTTCACTGTTTGCGAGCGAGCTGAACGGAGATAACATGAGCAATTCGCAAAACAGGTAAACACGGGATTCACAGTAAGGCTGTTGGTGGCTCAATCTAACTAGATCACTGGCTCCATGACTAAATATATGTGTAGAATGTTTAGAACGAGCTGATTATGTTTTTAATAATGGACATCCTTGCCATGTAATTGAGAGACGTGTGTTGAGCCGAAGAGGACTGACTTGCACTTGTTTCTAGGAAAGTTCAGAGCCATTTAAACGTGTCATATAAAAAATTACACGTTTTATATATATATATATATATATATATATATACATACATAATGACACTGTATGTATACGTTGTATGTATGTATGTGTGTGTGTGTATAATACATACATGCATACATACATACAACGTGTCATAATAATATAATATAATGACTAGTTGTATGTATATATATATATATATATATATATTAGGGCTGTCAAATGATTAATCACGATTAATCACATCCAAAATAAAAGTTTTTTTTACATAATATATGTGGGTGCACTGTGTATAATTATTTTGTATATATATAAATACACACACATGCATGTATATTTAAGAAAAAAATATGATTTATATATAAAATATTTATATTTATATGTAATATAAATTATATATAAATCTATATACAGTATATACATGAAAATATTTCTTAAATATATACAAGCATGTGTGTGTATTTATATATATAAAATAATTATGCACAGTGCACCCACATATATTATGTAAAAAAAACTTTTATTTTGGATGTGATTAATCATTTGACAGCCCTAATATATATATATATATATATATAATGCCCATGACACATTGTATGACACACACACATATATATATATATATATATATATATATATATATAGTCTGATAATGGTTTTAGGATGCACGTTATGTTCAAATAATTATGCTTCTCTTCTCTTTGTGTGTATTTTCACTCGGCTGTTTATACTTCACTTCTCATGCTTCACAGTTCTCTCAGGCCCCCAAGAATGAAGAGGAGATTGAGCAGAGAGCGAGAGGACAGCAGCACCTCGTCCTGCGCTGGGCCGACGGACTCCTGCAAGAGGGTCAAACAGCCCGACGAGGACTCCGGAGACCAGATGTCCCACTGGACTCGACTGCCCCAGGAGATCCTGCTTCACATCTTTCAGTACCTGCCGCTCCTGGACCGTGCCTTCGCCTCACAGGTCTGCCGCTGCTGGAACCAGGCCTTCCACATGCCCGAGCTGTGGAGGTGCTTCGAGTTTGAGCTCAATCAGCCTGCCAGCTCTTACCTGAAGGCCACACATCCTGACCTGATCAAGCAGATCATAAAGAGGCACTCCAATCATTTACAGTACGTCAGCTTCAAGGTGAGAGGCACATGGTGACTGCTTTAAACATTACAGCTCACAAATCATGCTGGCCTTAAAGGGATAGTATGAAATATTTACTCGCCCTCATGTCATTCCAAACCTGTATGACTTTCTTTGTTTTACTAAACACAAACGATATTTTAAAGAATGTTGGTAACCAAACAGTTTTGGCTCCCATTTTGACTTCCATTGTGTTTTTTTGTCAGTGGGAACCGAAACTGTTTGCAACATTCTTCAAAATGTCATGTTCCGAAGAATAAACACAGGTTTGCAATGACAGAATTTTATTATTTGAGTGAACTAACCCTTTAAAGGGTCAGTTAACTAAAAAATAAAAATCATTACCAAATCATTACAAACCTATTGGAGATGGAAAATCGATTTCTGTTCCTCCATTGAAAGTCCATTCCACCAAAAATCTGAGGCTTCAAAAAGTTCATATACATTGTACAACTAATCCATATAAATCGAGCTGTTTAATCCCAAGTCTTCTGATTTATATGATGAACAGATTTAATTTAAACTTTCATTCACATAAATATTAATCACTGCACATAAACATCAAATGTGGAAAATGGAATATGGTAGTATGATATAGATATACTCGGGAAATATGGTAGACTTGGATTTAACCTGCTCGATATCGATTACTTTTACAATGTCTTCATGAACATTTTGAACCAGTTTTGGGGGAATGGACAGAAATCTCTGAAGTTTCATTCAAAAAAATCGTAATTTGTTTCGAAGATGAACGAAAAAGTCTTTTGGGTTTTGTCATGAGGGTGAGTAAATAAGGAAATATTGTAGATATGTAGAATTCAGTAGATGTGTGTAATTTTACAGTGGCTTTGAACATGGCACATCTGATCAAAACCTAAAATGCATTAGTAGATGCTAAGATATTACAATATTATTGATCTGCCTGCATTGACACCATTATATGAGAACTGAACTGAGCTGGTTGATGACATCACGGTTTTCTCCAGAGCGGCTATATATATATAAAAATGAACTAAATTAATAACTTATTTACAACAAAAATGAACTAACCTAAGCTGGACTGTGATGCTATTTTCTTCTGGAATTTCTTCTTCATTATTTTCCTGTTATCTCTGTAAAGCTGCTTTGAGACGATCTGTATTGTAAAAAGCGCTATATAAATAAAGGTGACTTGACTAAAGGGTTTGTGTTGTGTTTGCACAGGTGGACAGCAGCACAGAATCAGCGGAGGCTGCGTGTGATATCCTGTCTCAGCTGGTGAACTGCTCTCTGAAGACTCTTGGACTGATCTCCACTGCTCGACCGAGCTTCATGGAGCTTCCCAAGGTATCTGGGCATGCGTTATATGGCTGAGTCGTGTGTTAGGACGCTGGGCTGGATGTTTCCTGATGTTTCATTGTTTCCTCTTTTCAGTCCCACTTCATCTCTGCACTAACCGTGGTGTTCGTCAACTCCAAGTCTCTTTCGTCTCTGAAAATTGATGACACGCCAGTGGATGATCCTTCGCTCAAGGTCCTGGTGGCCAACAACAGTGACACACTCAAGCTGTTGAAGATGAGCAGCTGCCCTCATGTTTCCCCTGCAGGTATGACACGTGTTATGTTAGGGACTGTGGGTATAGTTCATGAAATACTCGTCACCAGTTTCAATAGGGTGAACACACTCTTTTATTTAAAAAGCAAAATGTTAATATCAGTGGTAACAAATTCAATTAAAATATAGTATGTAGTAAATATTCTCAAGTAAATTTAAAATGTTGGCATGTTTGCAACACTTACACAAACTACGAGCAATAGATAGCATTACTACAAATAAAGTAAACAGAGACTGGCATCTAAAAGCAGTATTAAGTAAACATTCAGAATAAATACTAAAGTAATCAAAAGTGAAACATACTACTTGCACTAGCGTTCAAAAGTTTGGGTTCAGTAAGAATTACAAAATAATAATAATACTTTTATTCAGAAATGAATTGATCAAAAGTGACAGTAAAGACATTTGTAACGTTACAAAACATGTCCGTTTCAAATAAATGCTGCTCTCTTGAACTTTGTTCATCAAAGAATCCTAAAAAAATACCATAGTTTTTCACAATAATATTAAGCAACACAACCGGTTTCAACATTATTAGTAATAAATGTTTCTTGAGCAGAAAATCAGCATATTAGAATGATTTCTGAAGGGTCATGTGACTAGAATAATACCTTTGCCATCACAGGAATAAATTACATTTTTACAATATTGTTTTAAATCGTAATCAATATTATTGTTTTTACTGTATTTGTGTTCAAATAAATGCAGCCTTGTTGAGCATAAGAGACTTTTAAAAGCATAAAAGAAACTCTTGCCAGCCTCAAGTGTTTTAACAGTAGTGTAAATTATTATATTTTAATAGAAAAGGTACAGAAACAAACACATGTATTTATAGCAGGCTATTATCACCTACAACAGTAAAGTCTGTGACGGTCAATCTCTATTAGTCACATGCTGCTAATAAACAAGGTGTGTACAGGCAGAATATGATAACTTATGTTTATGGCTTATTGACATGCCTACGAGACTGGCTTGCCAACTCAATGGAAAAAAACAAACAAAACAAAGTGCCACCTTTGTGCTCCTCATAAAGACTACCGTAATTATTGTAATAGATGCACACCAATGTTTTCAGTCTTGCTGGCTTGACTGATGGGACTAGCGATAGTGTATAAAGATTTCTTACAGGCCCGTTTAGCTCCCATTGGAGGAAGATGTACTTTCATACACTTCAGTATGATTCAAAAATAGAGTTAAACAACAAAAACTAATCTTTTCATGATGTTTGTTCTCATAAGTCCCCCTGTGGGGTTTAAAGTGATCGTTTACCCAAATATTACAATTCTGTGATTTATACTCTGCCTCATTTCATTGCAAACCTACATGACTTTCTCTCTCTCCCCTATTGATGCCAAAAATTAAAGTTGAAACCGTATTCTTAACTGCTTTCGCCATATGGTAAAAGTCAATAGGGGAACAGGTGCTAACAAGTTTCAAACTGACAAAAAAAAAGTACATGACGAATTTCACTTTCATTCAATTATAAAGGAGCAGGTCAGTTAAAAAAAAAAAGACATGTTAATGACGAAGAATCATGGGTTTGCAACAACAAATTATATGACAATTCTGATTTTAGGTCAACTATTTAAGTAATTAGAATTTTAATTTTCGGACCTATCTATTTAATATAAATTTTTCTGTCATAATTTACTCGCACCCTTAAGTTGTAAGAGTTTCTGTCTTCTGCTGAACACAAAGGATGATATTTTGAAGAATGCTGGTAACCAAACAGTTGATGGACGCCATTGACTTCCATAGTAGGGGAAACAAATATTAGGGAAGTCAATAGGGTCCATCAACTTTGGTTTGGTTACCCATATTCTTCCAAATTCTTTGTTCATGCATATGTGGAATAACAGAAAAATCTAGCTCAGAGTTCAGATTTTCAGAATCGTTGAAGAGAAATCACAAATGCATCTGAGAATATTTTTTTCTTTTTTCCACCCTAGACGTTAGTCAGGCTGTATTATTTGTGGTGTGTTGTGCCGGTGAAAGCCATCCGTCTTCTGTTGTTCCAGGTATTCTGTGTGTTGCTGATCAGTGTCACGGTCTGAGAGAACTGGCTCTGAACTATCACTTACTGAGCGACGATCTCCTCCTGGCGCTTTCCTCAGAGAAACACGTGCACCTCGAGCACCTTCGCATAGACGTGGTGAGCGAGAACCCCGGGCAGCAGTTCCACACCATCAAGAAGAGCAGCTGGGACGCCATGCTGCGCCACTCGCCCAACTTCAGCCTGGTCATGTACTTCTTCCTGTACGAGGACGAGTTCGGGCCCTTCTTCCGCGACGAGATCCCCGTCACGCACCTGTACTTCGGCCGCTCGGTCAGCAAGGAGGTCCTGGGCCGCGTGGGCATGAACTGCCCCCGTCTGGTGGAGCTGGTGGTGTGTGCCAACGGGCTCCGGCCGCTGGACGAGGAGCTGATCCGCATCGCTGAGCGCTGCCAGCACCTGTCGGCCATCGGGCTGGGCGAGTGCGAGGTCTCCTGCGGTGCTTTCGTGGAGTTCGTGAAGATGTGCGGCCGTCGCCTCTCTCAGCTGTCTATCATGGAGGAGGTGCTCATCCCAGACCACAAATACAGCCTGGATGAGATCCACTGGGAAGTGTCCAAGCACCTGGGTCGGGTTTGGTTTCCAGATATGATGCCCACCTGGTGAAATGCACAACGATTGCATTCAAAAGAGCATTGAAAAGTACGGCTAAGCCTTTGGTAATATGCGGTCTTCAGTTAATTCCCAAGGTTTGTACATAGATTTGATTTGAGATGTAAATTCCCTCACTGCTCATTATTAATGTGGACTGTTGTGTTAAAGGGATTCTGTCATTTACTCCCCCTCATTTCAAACCTGTATGATCTTTTCATCTGTGGGACATAAAAGAAGATATTTTGAAGAATGGTGGTTACCCAACAGTTTTGGTGACCATTGGATTAGACATTGATCAAAAAAATTCATAAAAAAAAACTGCACACAGACATTTTTTTAAAATGTTTTTATGTTCCACAGAATAAAGATGTTTGGAATGACATGAGGGTGATAGTTTTCATTTTTGTGGGAAATATCCCTTTAATGGCGTGTTGTGGCAAATTTACAGCTTATTGAGGTCATATTTAACTCTAAAATTAAAAGAAAAAATGTACAATTATATTTTGCATCAAAAAGGAATTAAGCCCATTTTAGGATCATTAAGATTTTTGTCATTGTGACATTATTTAAATGACAATTAAGCGTTTTTCCCATCCTTTTAATAATGCATCTCTTTGAGTTATTTGATTTGTTAATCCCATTAGATTCTCATTACAGTAATGTTCTATTTTTTTAATCAGCATAAAGACACTACAACAACTCAGTTCCATGATATATGTTATTTCTTAAAAATATATATTTTCCTCTGCATGACAATTTGAGGTATTCTGGGTCACATACAACACAAAAATGGAGGTTATTTGCAAAAAATATTTTTGTAACATTTACTAACTAAATAGAGCATCACTGTACACGTCATACCATGTATATATGTTACATTTTCAGATTTTATTGCAAAATATGTTGTGGGTGGCCAGGGTGGGGTTGGGAGTTGTTCATTTAGAAATGAAACTGAAAGCTGTTTAATTGAGATCAGATTCTAGTCATATGCAGATATATTCATTGTTCATGCAGATGCTCATCTATTTCTCCACTTCACTGTTCCTGCTATGTATCTGTGTAATGGCTGTTTTCAGTGGCTCAAACTGTAAAGGGTGGATCTCATGTTAAATCATTCATCCATTAGAGCACAAACAGGGTATTTAGTTTAAATGCATAAGCTTTATCCAACCACCCATTTCCCAAAGTGCTTGTCCAATCAATGTAGGGTGACAGGAATGTAGGAGCCTATCCCAGCGGCTCAGGCCATAATCCCATTTTGATGACATGGTTTGTGTGCTTAGTTGAACCAGCTCTCACTAGGACTCTTCAGCAGCGCCTCCTAGTGGCAGGAAAAGCCACAAGACTTCAGTGAGAGCGGTTTCCACTCACTAACCAGTTCACCAACACAAGCTCAAGGTTGAAAAGAAGTGTACATACAATAAGTGCTCACTTGAAAGTGTGCTGATTTGGTTTATTTAGATGATGAACTGTATTTTGTGTGTATTAATACATAGATTTGGTATTACAGTGCTTTTGTACAAAAATGTATAGTGGATAATATGCACCTTATACATACCAAATGGAAATATTTCTTTTGTGTGGTTTAAGCAAGTAGAAAAGAAACAGTCGCTCATATTTTGGGTTAGCAGGGAAGAGGTTGCAGAATAAGATAACGGCATATTATTTTCAAGGTATGTTGGAGTTGGTCAGAGAGGATGGGAATGAAAGGATCAGTGTTTGGCTCACAGAACACTTGTGTCCTCAAATTTGGAAAGAGATGGTAATAGAATTTTAGAGATACAATGAACCATTGGTTTCTATTGGATTGCATGAAGAATGCTGTGCAATGAAAAACTGAATGGGATACAAGCAGATAATGAATGATTTCTTTTCTTTTTTCTGGATACGCTTCAGACCTGGCTGCATTAACATGCGCCCTTCCATTCAGTTCAATATGGTTCAGTATTGGAGTGAAGCAGTGAAAACATTTTCCTTTAAGAAGGAAGCTCCATGTGTCTGTATATAAAATGCTGTGTTTTTGATATAAATAGAAATACTAATGTATACTTCTGTGGAGGTTCAAACTAAGTGTTTCTGTGCTGATCTCTTTCAGATGAGTGGGAATTATTATATATCTTTACCCTTGTGATTAGTTGATCATCAGTGTAATTTATTGATATGCTTTTTTTTATTATTAATCTGCTTATACTGATAGTTTAACATTGAGTGAGATGCTCCATATGTTGATTTATATGCATATATAATTTATAAAAAGTCAATAGCATGTAAGTTTTCTTTGACTAATTATCCAGAATTAAAGGCTGTATCGGCTTTTGTAAATGTAGCATCTACATGAAAACTAAGATTCCTGTCATCATTTGAAAGCAAAACATTCTTGAAAATGAACAGAACAGAATCTACAGCACGGTAGTTCACATTCAATTTAGTTATATCATTAAAATAACAAAGCGAGGCTTTAGTCAGTGCATATCTTACCATTTTAACTCATTTTTGCTAGACATGACTTTTTGAAAGTGCAAGCTGCATAACATTAACTCAAAGCCATTAACATGTACAAACAGCATCAAACCAAGTGCTCATGTATTTCATTTTTCTGAAGCAAGTGAGCATATTGCTTGTATTGCTAATATTACATTTCCTGTGTTGTAAAAACATGATTATAACATTGTCTTTTGTTGAAATAAATAAAGGCAAATAAACATTTGTGCACACTGTGTGAATGTTTTACAGATCATTTACATTAAGGCAACAATGTTCATAAATGAGTTGTACAATAAAAAATATTTGTCCATGTATTAGTACAAATTAACACTTATCTGATGGTATGGAAAGGAAGTAGAAAATTAAAAAAGTAATTTTATGTAGTATTAAAAAATGTTCATTATGGAAAAGAAATCTCCTCATAGGTTATTTGTAAATAAGGATATTTCATCGGCAGCTTCCAATATTCAGAGTTGTAGTAGAAATAGAAGGTCTTCTCTAGGACCATCTTTTCATAAGCCTCCAACAGGCTCATAATCATTTCGATCACTGACTGGTGAGAGCGAAAGGAGTGATAGAACCTCTCAATGTCCGTGGCAAGATCTTTCAGAGAAGACTGTTGAAAGATGGTGTCATCTCCCAGATAGAGAGGCTCTCCGCTGTACAGATAGATCTTTGTGTAGTTGGTTGGCGTTTGGCTCAACAGTTGGGCGCCCAGCTCCAGTAATTTCTTATATGTGCGGTGCACAAACTGAGAACAGTCGTAGGACTCGAACCATGTTGTGGCATTGGCACCAGGGTCTGACTTTACCGTCCATGTCTCGTAATACACACCCGTTTCATTGTCCTTCTGAACCCACAGAGCCAACTCATTAAACATCTCACCTAACAAAACACAAATATATGAGTGAGAAAAAGAATCAAATCCAGACGAAACAGAAAACACGTGCCGATGAGGATGCTTCAATATTTGTTTTTATAATATGATAATATATATAATTCAATATAATTGTTTATGATAGTTTCTGTTTTAAACATTGTTTTATTATTCTGCTAATGAAAATATGACAATTTAATGTCATCTAGCTAGATAACAATAATCTAGTTGTCAGTAATGTTTTATACCATATGTCAGTAAAAGTGTTTATGAAGTTTGTGAACTACATTTTGTTTGCTCATGTTTAAAATAAGTTGTTTGGCTAAACTTGGCCATATATGGAACCCTTAAAGGGACAAAAAAAAAATATGAGATGGGTGGAAAAAAGACGTTCTCTCACAAATGTTTTAAAAGAATGTTTCCCCTGAGAAACTTTACATTCGCTCGCTAATCTTTTGTTCCTTGTGAGCGAACGCAAAGGTTCTCGGGGAACGCTAAAGTTTTGAAATAAAAATAAACCTAATTATAAATTTAAAAAGTTTAATGTTTTTAAAAGAAGTCTCTTCTGCTCACCACAAGGCTGCATTTATTTGATCCAAAATACAGCAAAAAGTATTACAGTAATATTGTGAAATATTTTTTTACTATTTAAAATAACTGTTTTCTATTGTAATATATGTAAGGGTTAGTTCACCCAAAAATGAAAATTATGTCATTAATTGTCTTTAAGCGTCATTAAGCGTCTTACGTCAGCAGCGTCACTGAACACGGATCCACAACAGAACCGGAAGACAATACAATGCTGAATAAAGTCGTAGTTTTTGTAATTTTTGGACCAAAATGTATTTTCGAAGCTTCAAAACATTCTAACTAACCCACTGATGTCACATGGACTACTTTGATGATGTCTTTATTTCCTTTCTGGACAAGGACAGTATACCGTACATACATTTTCAATGGAGGGACAGAAAGCTCTCGGACTAAATCTAAAATATCTTAAACTGTGTTCCGAAGATGAATGGAGGTCTTACGGGCTTGGAACGACTTGAGGGTGAGTCATTAATGACATAATTTTCATTTTTGGGTGAACTAACCCTTTAATATGTAGAACTTTATTCCTGTGATCAAAGCTGAATTTTTAGCATCATTACTCATTACTTCTGTGTCACTTGATCCTTAAGAAATAATTCTAATGTGATCTGATTTATTATCAATGTTGGAAACAGTTTAACAACCGTTTCCAACATTTTTTAATAACAGAGTATCAAATCAGCATTTCAGAATGATTTCTGAAGGGTCATGTGACACTGACGACTGAAGTAATGGCTGATGAAAATTCAGTAAAGTACTATATATATTGAAATGTATTACAATAGAAAACAGTTATTTAAAATTGTAATAATAATACTAATACTAATACACAATATTACCGTTTTTTCTGTATTTTTTATCAAATAAATGCAGGCTTGATGAGCATAAGAGCAAAAACATTAAAAACAGTAAAGTTCCTAAACTTTTTAATAGATTAGATTTTTAAAAGATTATAGATTTTACAAACTTACCTGAAATCTCTCCTATTTTCTCCAAAGTCCCATTCTGCTTCCAGTGTAAGTCGTCTATGCCGTCGTAAAAGCACGCCGCTCCCTGGTTACACCAGAACGGCGCACTCACACCCTCTCTTTCATGAGGAAAAGTGCAATTCCCAAGCTGAAACAGCTCGTACCACTCCATAGTGAAGTTTCTCCCGGTTTTTGCGCTTCCAAAGCCAATGGCGTCGTGCATGACATGCTGAGGTGAAAACTCTTGATTAGACTCAGATGAATACACTCTTAAAGAAAAGAGGCCTGCTATTCACTTACAAACTTTCCCAAGATGTCACCATATTTGAACTCCCACACAGGAGTCTGAAGTCTGAACACTGAGATGACGTCCAAGTCTCCCATGACGGGTATCCGACCACCTGGATCTCCAGTGGGACAGAACGGGTATAAAGCCTGGCAGAAGGGATCAACATCTGGACGTCTGTCAAGTCGCCTAGAAATTGATATGAAATTGTGTTACGTCTGCTTCTCAGCGAATAGGTTTGGCCAACATGGTGGATGTCACATGATGTAATTAATTCATATTTATGAGCATAAAATTGTGAAGTAGTTTATTTGAATTCACTGGAAATGTAAGTGTGTATATATAACTTGCATCTAATTTAAGCCTCTTGCTTTCTTAGTTGGGGACACTTAATATTCACCGACACTATTGGATGAGACCTGAACTGAGCTGGACGATGATGACATCACTGTTTTCACCAGAACATTAATTTAATAATTGATCTTTACAACAGAACTGAATCAACACTGAACAGACTTCAGCTGAACAATGACACTGTTTTCTTGTAGAGCTGCTGTACAGCCAATATGAACTCTGTTTATCACTGTAAAGCTGCTTTGAAACAATCTGTATTGTATAATACGATCTCTATATAAATAAAGGTGACTTGACTTGACTAAGAAATCATACATTTAAATATACATATAAAAATATACATTAATCACAATATTTTAATGTTCCTATTCTACTGAGTGAGGTCCTACCTGGAATTAACAATGCCAACAGCGTACAACTCTTTATTATGTTGGCAATAATAATTTTATATACCCGTTTATTATCTACCTCTTGACATTAATTCCACTTTCATTTACATAACACATTTGTATACTTTTATTAAATAGTAACAGTAAATAGTATATCTGTACATACGTAATTCTGTCTATTGTGCATGATATTTTCTATATTACTGTATTTTATTTCATTTTATTGCCTTTTTATTATTGTGTTACATTGCTTTTCATTGCCCTTTATCCCTGTTTGTACTTTTTCTGCACTGGAAGCTCCTGTCCACAAGACAAATCCCTTGTGTGTGTTAACAATTGTCATTAAAGCTCATTTTGATTCTGAAGACAAATAAACCATCGTGCAAATTAACTTTAAAAAAAAAAAAAACAACAAAAAAAAAAAAAAAAACAGACTGAAGACGAACCGATATAAACACGTTTAGTCCTTAGTGCTGGTAATGTAATTGAGCTGAAGTGTACAGTAGCTGCAACTTACTGGTAAGGCACTGGCCAGACCTGCTTCCCACTGACCCTAGAAACGACCAGCCCCACAGTCCAGCAGTGAAGAACCGCGTGAATGAAGTGAAGGGAATACTTCATCTCAGCACTATCTCCGAAAAACACGAATGTGCTGACTTTCTTGCAGCTGTTACTGTTTTGTCTCACATCCTTGTTTCAGAGAACACTGATCAGGTGACAGGCTAAATTGAGTCAACTGGTCAGTCACGAGTTTTTTTGTTAGTCTAATACATGTCAAAATAAAAGTCACGCTCTAAAAAAAATGCCTATAAAAAATGCCTATATCTATGTTTAAATAATGATAATAATTATAATAACTAATAATACTAAATTCTCAAACCTACATTTTGTTCACAACAAAAATTAAAATAAAAACATTCACTGAAATCAAACATAGACATCGTCTCAGCTCACCCAAGTTAATGATGGTTTTTTTAAACCGCATTGGAAAAAAGAGTTTAGAAAAATCATACATGCACAATTTACATTTGTCTACAAATCTAATTTCAAGCATTTAGCATAACGTTAGGTCAAATGGTTTTTAACAAAAAAAATATTCCAGTCAAGTGTGTCCAATTTTTGGACGAATAGTGCTAATTTTAACTTAAAAAATAATGCTTTAATATATATACATTACATATACATTTCTAAAGCGAGCGAGTGTGACCGTTCTTGGGGTGAAAGCATAGACTGTAAAAAATGGGTGAAAGTCACTTTGCGCATAGACATAATGAATAAAAATTGCGCATGTGTCTTGGCTCACGCGGCATTGCTATGGTAACAGTAAACAGCCTTGAACTGAAGCTTTTCCTTTTGGGGTTGTTCCCTCTTATCTGTTCATTAAACTCAAGTTTATCATGACAGACGTTGGTTCTGAAGAGTTTGACGACGAGCAAGGCTCTCTGGGGGTGAGTCTTTGTCACAGTTTATACTCAGTTCGCAGTGTGTTCACAGTAGAGATGACAGTTATCGCTCTGTGTTGAAGGAGTATGAGGGAGACAGAAATGAAGCTGGAGAGAGACACGGACAGGGCAAAGCTGTCCTGCCTAATGGAGACACTTACCAAGGAGCATATGAAAACGGCAAGAGATATGGCCAGGTCATGTCGCTCACAAACACTGTTAGTATGCAGTTTCTGTTCTCATAAACAAAGGAAAGATTTGATAAACCTTGTGTTGTCTGTATATCAGGGGACATATAAGTTCAAGAATGGGGCCAGATACATTGGAGAATGGTACATGAATTTAAAACATGGACAAGGCATATTTTATTACCCAGATGGCTCCAAATATGAAGGTAAATCTACTTTATATTATCTCAAGTATCCAGTACAGTATATGTGGTTTGTTAAGGTTATCATGAACTAACAATGAATGACACTTGACACAGACACAGAGTTGACACTTGACACAGAGTTAAGACTGAGTTGTTATTGTTAACACTTACTGTAATAAAATATAAATGAAAACTATAGAAATATTTTTTTAAACGAATAAAAATGACAGCACATAACAAAAATTCTAAATTAAACGTAAATTACAATGAAAACTGAAAATAAAAAAAATCAAAGCTAACTCAAAATATTAAAACTATAATAGTATAATAGTAAAATAACACTGGTTTTACAGTACTTATTAATCTATGTTAATGTTAATTACAACATATACTAATACATTTTTAACAGTACAAGTTAGTTAATTTACTGTAAACAAACACGAATTAACAATGAACAATAGTATATATTTTAGTGCTGTCAAATCGATTAATCGTGATTGATCACATCTAACATAAAAGTTTGTAAATATATAATATATGTGTGCGTGGTTGGATGGATGGATGGATGGAGATATATGCGATTAATCATGATTAATCGATTTGATTAACAGCACTAGTATTTAAAAATTACAAACATTCTGAAATTTAACTAGTTGTCTCTGACTTTTTGACCCTTGTCTCGGACTTCTAACTACAGTCTTCACATGTGATATTTCTTCCTCTTCCTCAGGAAGCTGGGTGGATGACCAGAGGCAGGGTCATGGTTTTTACACATACCCCAACGGAGACACATATGATGGTGAATGGCTGCAACATCAAAGGTAGTTGAAATGCAGCTCTCTTTTCCACTGAACTAATCCAGTAACCTGTCGAATCTATTAATATCAGTCGTAACAGTATTCATAACATCTTCAGTTCAACTAAAAATGAATGGCAAACTATGCTTATTAATAAAAGTATCTGATTGTCTGTCTTTTTCCCCTCTTAGACATGGGCAGGGTACATACACACATCATGACTCAGGTTCTCAGTACATGGGCAGATGGATCATGGGTAAAATGGAGTCAGCCGGGGAGCTCATCCATCTGAACCACAGATATAAGGGCAACTTTGTCAATAATAATGTAAGTAATACTCTGCATTTATGGTTCTGAGCTGGTGAGTAGTAGAACATGGTTTTAATGGCTAATTGGGTTGCGGACAGCAGGGGGTACTACATACATGACCTGTACTACATTCAATAATAAAATGCAACTATCTGTATAGTAAAGAAAAGAATAGCAAAATAAATTGACACAAAAAGGTTTGAGAAAAATGTTTCACATAGCTTTTACAGTCAAACACCTGAACAAGCTGATCAAGAGTACAGGAAAATTGCAGATAGGTGAGTTCGATCAGGGTTTGAACTAAACTCTGCAGGACAGTGGCCCTCCAGGGCTGGATTTGAGGAAACCTGCTCTATATTAACATTAATATAACAAGATATCTGCACTTCTCTCACACAGTGATCACTTACACTCACCTAAAGGATTATTAGGAACACCTGTTCAATTTCTCATTAATGCAATTATCTAATCAACCAATCACATGGCAGTTGCTTCAATGCATTTAGGGGTGTGGTCCTGGTCAAGACAATCTCCTGAACTCCAAACTGAATGTCAGAATGGGAAAGAAAGGTGATTTAAGCCATTTTGAGCGTGGCATGGTTGTTGGTGCCAGACGGGCTGGTCTGAGTATTTCACAATCTGCTCAGCTACTGGGATTTTCACGCACAACCATTTCTAGGGTTTACAAAGAATGGTGTGAAAAGGGAAAAACATCCAGTATGCGGCAGTCCTGTGGGCGAAAATGCCTTGTTGATGCTAGAGGTCAGAGGAGAATGGGCCGACTAGAGCTGTCACGATAACTACTTTTTGTTGTGCGATATATTGCACCAAAATTAATTGCGATAAACGATATTATTGTAATTTTCAGACCATTTTATGCCACTGATTACATAATGACAATATAATAGCATAATAATGCAAGTACACTGTTTCAAAGAACAAAGAACATTTTATTCGTATTCTATTCAATATTTAGACATTGTGAAATGTGAAAAAATATATCCCAAATAAATAAAACAAGTAAATAAATACACTTTCGTTAACAAAAAAAGTGCAAGGTATCAAGAACTAGATCAAAACAAAGTAATATGTCAATTAAAACTTTTAAAGTGTCTCACACAAAGGCACAGATGCATCAACAGGACATTTCTGCTGCCAGATTAGTTTTTTAATTGTTAGGCAGATTCCGAGAAAGGAACACCAACATGTTTACCTTGTGGGGCTTAAGGCAGGATCTTACTGGCGTAACAATGTTACCAGCTGTGCTAAACAGTCTTTCTTTTTTGTGCTAACTTGGCTACTAGGGGAAATCTTGTGTGGTTATCACGCCACCACATTAAGGGATCAGATGATGCAGGAACTGGTTCTTCCTGGAGGAACCTGGTCAGCTCCACATCAGCCTGCACTCTTTTTGGAACCGATGCCTGAGTCTGGTGACTTGCAAGTAGGTTTCTTCTGTGCTGGAGAAGGTCACACAGCCTCTTCTTCTTGCTTGCTGGAGGTCCAGATTCAGATCCTTTATTTCCCCCTGCAGCTTCAACGCAGTTCTCACCACTGGCACAATCTCCTTTTCCGTCTTCCTCGTTCATGTCTAGTAGTTCTTGCAATAGCTTTTCTTTTACATCATCCAAGACCTCCGCATCCTCCATGGTACCACGATACCTTGGATCCAAGATGGTGGCCTTTGTCAGAAGGTTTTGGATTTCAGGTGGGCTGTATTTCTCTTTCAACACCCTGCACATGTTTGCCTTTATGTTTGCTGTCAGTCCAGTGTCATTGGGGTCTGGTGATAAAAGTTCACCTTTAAGAAGTTCCAACACAGGCTTTACTGAGGACACAGTGACATATTTTTCCCCTGAAAGGACGTCCGTGAAATCAGCCACTGGCTTCATTGCTGCATTAATGGATTCCAACACAGAAACATCCTGCCAGGTTGGGTTGAGGTGGCCATGTTTTCGATCTTCAACCAGGACACGTCGTATGGCTGGGAGTTGCTCTAGCACCCTCTCGATCATTTTGTGCTTGGTACCCCATCGTGTGGCGACATCCTGTGGAAAGTATAACATTGTTTTTGTTTTTTTGTCTAACATCATTTAACAAATGCTACTTTTACTACACTGTAAAAAAAATTGTAATCACAAATTTTTTTCTTTTGTCAAATCAACTTAATTTATGTGGTTCAGATAACATAATAGTTTGAGTTTCTGATGGTTAAATCAATCTGCTTCATTGTATTAACTAAATTTTTCAATTTCAATGAACTTAATTTTAAGGCAACCAGGTTACTTATTTAATTAAGTTAAACCAACAATATTTTTATAGTGTAGTACTTTCACAAATAATAATATGGTTATTATAATGTAATTATTTAATACATACAAACAGGCCCCAAAGTAAGTAATAAATAATAAAAACCCTTTAAATTAAGTTTATATAAACCCTAAATATTTTGCGTTGTATAACAAGTTACCGGTATCATCACTCACCAGTACTAGATTGTGTTGGGGGACATTGGTTTCAGTCTGTGCCTTCCTCAGGTCTCTCTTCTTTAGCCAGCTCAGGTTGAAGGTGTTGACAAGATTCCTACAAAGTCCCATGGCACGTGCTGTGCGATCCTTGTCACTGTCCAGTCCATGGGTAACAGCCAAATGGAGGTTGTGTCCAAAGCAATTGAGCCATGGCCAGCCAAGATTACGTATTGCAGCCACAATGTTAGCACCGTTGTCTGTAGTTATACAGGCCATTTTGCGCTCATCCAATTCCCAGTCTGCTAAAGCAAACTGAAGGGCTTCAGCAAGCACATCTGCAGTGTGGTTCTGGGGTATGTATCTGGTTTCTAAACACTTCGACTGCAGAGTCCAGTCAGCAGTTATGTAGTGTATGGTCAAGCTCATGGTGTCATATTTGAGCTTGACCACATATCTGTTGTGGCTGAGTAAAAAGGAGATGTCTTTTATCTCCTTCAGAATATCGTCTTTAACTTTATTGTACAAGGATGGAATGGCAGTTTGGGAGATGTAAGTTTTCTTTGGCAATTCGTACTGTTTGTCAAAAGTTTGCAGCATATTTTTAAATGCTGGTTTTTCGACCGTGTATAATGGCTGCATCTCTTTGGCTATATAGCGAGTTACGCTATCCGTGAGTGTGCGCCATTTCGCGCTGTCACGTTTATATTTGCACTGTCGGGAAAAGGCATCTGCAACAGATAACTGTCTGGAAGAAGGCCCCTCTCCAACTCCAGCTGCAGTTGTTGTTACCAGATTGAAAAACTGGGTGGGATGGTTATGTTTTAGGTGCGATTTTAAGTTTGTTGTGTTGCCTCTTTTCGTTGCTACTGTTTTAAAACACAGTCGACATACCGGCTCGTTCACGTTAATTAGCTCTCCTCTCTCGTTCGGCTTAAAGCCAAAATGTTCCCACACCGGAGCTGAAGATTGCGGCTTTGAAATCAATTCCATGTTGAACTCGTTCTTCCTAACTGGCTCACTGTAGATGTCACGAAACAGATTACTTTAAAATGCAGTTGGTTCACGCTTTCTCTTCACCTGACGGTGTCCGCTCTCTCTCTTTCTCTGTGTGTGTGTGTGTGTGGACACGCTGCCTGAGCCCCGCCTCCGACACAGAGTGCAGACAAGATGACAGAGGCAGCGCGATCAATTAAAATGTTGGTGACATTCATTTTGATGTAAAAATGAATCTAATTATTATTTTTAATAATAAAACAAATTTCAGTTGCAATAAATCGCGGCACCAAAAATGATCGCGCTCATTTCCATATATCGTGCGATAAGTCGATATATTGACTATCGCGACAGCTCTAGGGCCGACTGATTCAAGCTGATAGAAGAGCAATGAAATAACCACTTGTTACAACCGAGGTATGCAGCAAAGCATTTGTGAAGCCACAACACGCACAACCTTAAGGCGGATGGGCTACAACAGCAGAAGACCCCACCGGGTACCACTCATCTCCACTACAAATAGGAAAAAGAGGCTACAATTTGCAAGAGCTCACCAAAATTGGACAGTTAAAGACTGGAAAAATGTTGCCTGGTCTGATGAGTCTCGATTTCTGTTGAGACATTCAGATGGTAGAGTCAGAATTTGGCGTAAACAGAATGAGAACATGGATCCATCATGCCTTGTTACCACTGTGCAGGCTGGTGGTGGTGGTGTAATGGTATGGGGGATGTTTTATTGGCACACTTTAGGCCCCTTAGTGCCAACTGGGGACCGTTTAAATGCCACGGCCTACCTGAGCATTGTTTCTGACCATGTCCATCCCTTTATGGCCACCATGTACCCATCCTCTGATGGCTACTTCCAGCAGGATAATGCACCATGTCACAAAGCTCGAATCATTTCAAATTGGTTTCTTGAACATGACAATGAGTTCACTGTACTAAAATGGCACCCACAGTCACCAGATCTCAACCCAATAGAGCATCTTTGGGATGTGGTGGAACGGGAGCTTCGTGCCCTGGATGTGCATCCCAAAAATCTCCATCAACTGCAAGATGCTATCCTATCAAAATGGGTCAACATTTCTAAAGAATGCTTTCAGCACCTTGATGAATCAATGCCACGTAGAATTAAGGCAATTCTGAAGGGGAAAGGGGGTCAAACACAGTATTAGTATGGTGTTCCTAATAATCCTTTAGGTGAGTGTATTTCTTACGAATTATTGTCTTGTTATTTTCTAGCCCTCTGGTCCAGGGAAGTATGTGTTTGACATTGGGTGCGAGCAGCATGGAGAGTACCTCCAGAAAGATCAGGTATGTCTATTTTAATGTTTTACAGGATGTCTTTAAATATCATGAGAATGTATTTCAGGTAGCATGATCACATAAATCAGCAGAAATTGTCTTTGTTCTCAGTCTTACCACTGTTTTGTTGTTATTTGGCTTGTTAAGAGAGTTGTTTTAAATACCCTGGTGAAAAAGAAGTGTGCTTATTTTGTATTGAATGAGAACTGAAACTCAAGCCTGCACCAGATGAAGAAACCAGTAAGGAAGGGAAAGCCTTGAAGTTGTGTTCTCCCTTCTCCTATTGCCATTTTGGCCTTTGGAGATGAGGGTTTTATGACAACTTTCAGATTTTTGCTGTGCCTCTAAATAGTGCAGTTTGCCAGTTGCCTGGTGCATGTCAAAAGAGGATCATGAGGAGAAAGTCTTATGCCGTGTTCTTTCCCTTAGACTGTAGTCAGTAGTGGAATGCCCTTAGAGCATCGAGTGGATGAAGCAGTTCACTGGAGGTTCAGAAGTTTTACAGCTTGGTATGCTAGTAAACAATGCCAAACACTAAATAAATGTAAAACAGAATATGATGCAACTGAATACATAAAAAGCATACCAAGACACATTTAAAGTCTGTTTGTGCCTGTTAGAGATGAATAGTAGGACACAACAGGGCAAAAAACAAACAAAAAAAACGGGGCTTGAATTTAGATTTTTATATTCTCCTTTCAAAATACAATTATTCATTTTAGCTCTGTTGTACCCTACCTATAAGAATAAGCCTATATTGAATGCATTTCTGTGTGAAGCCAAATCATAATTAATCTTTTTGACAGCAGGACAAAGGAGATGCAGAGGAAGATGAACCTGCCTTAACCACCGCCTTGAAGTGGAAACCCAAGGCACTTACTGGGTTTTCTGTTTGGGCTAATGAGAATTCTGCCCCGTCAGGTACATCCGCATCCAGTTCTAAATATAAAACATCATAACACAGTAAAGCCCCATTCACACCAAGCTGTGGATATTTGAAATCACCAAAACAAACACGCCCCTACCCCAAAGGATCACACCCCTATCTTGATAGCTCCGCCCCCAAATGCATGAACACTATGCAACACAGGCACCTCCCCCTTTATGAGTGGACACACCCCTTACTGCTGATTGGCTACAAGTGTGCTTTGGTGCTCGGTCCGATTCACTTTCAATAGTGTTTCTCAGAAATCGTTTACTGCACCTTTAAGTGACTTTGAACATAGCATGGTTGTTGGTGCCAGACGAACTGGTCTGAGTATTACAGAAATTGCTGATCTACTGGGATTTACACTCACAGGCATCTCTAGGGTTTACAGAGAATGGCCCGAAATAGAGAAAATATCCAGTGAGCAGCAGTTCTGTGGGCGAAAATGCCTTGTTGATGCCAGAGGTCAGAGGAGAATAGCTATTGTTCTGTTTATTCTAATCTTTAAACCAGGATGGATTCTGAGTAGCTGTCAATGTTTTTGTCATTCATCATCTGAAAAAGAATTGTTCTGAAAGTGATCCCAACTATATTTCTCTGTGCCATTATCATTGTAGTTGTGGTGTGGACTGCTATTCTTTTATATTTAGAATGATTTTTAGAACTATATCTTTATTGTTAGAGTTATCGTCCTTGGTGTGAAAGGCCCTCAATGCTGTAATGTGTGTCATTTATTAGCATTTGTAGTCACCTTCTCTCATCTTTAAATTTTTTTTAATGTTATTGACCTATTATTATATTCATAAATATGTAAATGTAAGAAATGATAGAGTCCATCCTCATTTAAAGGAAGTGCATTATAAAACAACATCTATATACTGCCATTTTACCATTTTAGACATTTCGACAAACATCTTTGAGTCATAAATTCGGTAAGTTGAACTAAAGTGTCTGTGTCTGTTCATTGTAGATCAAGCTGTGGTGGAAGAGTGAGAAAGACAGACCCCCAAAAGATGATAAGAAGAAAGAGGACCTTTAGATAATTTATATCTGCACATATCTGTCACTTCTCATGTTTAGGGATAATTAAAAATGCTGTAACAAATGCATTGTGCATTGCTAGTTATTGTTAGTAAATCCATTAACTAACATTAACTAATGGGACATTGTTGTAAAGCATTACTGCAAAATCTATTTATAGCTGGTTTGGAGGCCCTGGTAACTGAAAAGTGTTGTAATTTCAAAAACAGCAGAGGGCGCAATAAACCAGCCAAATATGACCTGTCAATGAGACTAGTGTTTACCGAAAAACAATTATGATGATTTTTTTTTTATTCATTAAAACAAACTAAAGCGAACGTCTGCGCCCTTCATTATTTTGTGTTTAATTGAGCAAATGTGGCCTGTAACTAATCTGTTCGGAAGACTCAGATACTTGTTAACAATCACTTTTAAAACTTTCCCAATCTAAAGCATGTTCGAGGAGCACCTTTTTTTGCACATATTTCTAAACCGTTTTAATCACCAGAGGTTCAATAAGGGTCTAAAACTGATGTAGACAGAATCAAAATGATCTTTAAAATACATTATCCTGAAAAAAGGATGTTACTCTTTTTGCTGAGTTTATATACCATAATGTCTCAGAATAGAGATACCCATTTATTTATTTTTCATTCTTTTCTGGTGGTGATTCTCATTAGATTCTATTAATCTAATTCAATTGTTTGTTTGTTTCTTTTATCAAAAATGAATGCATAGCTTATTCAACAATTACTAATGATTAAAAAAGTAGACGCTTGCATCTACAAGCAGCATCTTCAGTCACAGGCTTTACTGAAGACAACGGCTCGCTGGTGTGTGTTCACACACTGCTTCCTCTTTGCTCTGTTTCCTGCACCAGCCTGAGGACAAACACAAACCATTGTGGGAGTCATTCTGTTGAACTGATCACGTATCAGTTCTGAAAAACATCTCTCTTAACCCAATGAACTAATCATTCTATCTTTACATGTTTAAATACATTTATAGTCCATATTAATTACTGTCTTTAAAACATTTAAATATTTAAAAAGAGAAAAAACAATTCTTGCACTGTTTGCTTTATAACACTATCCTGCAAAACTTTCAGAGCTGGTTTGCCAAACTGTCAAATCCATACAATCCTCGTTTTGCCATAACATGATGTAGCAACAAAACCAGCCAATGACATTCTTTTTATTTTTTAAATAAAAAATTCAAATGGAAATAATAAGGACATAAATACAATATGAGGGCTTTGGAACAGGCACATGTTTATTCAGGATTTCAAGGCTTTGTCAATAATAATTTAAGCAGCTTCCTGATCTCATTGTTGTCTTAAACACAATAGAGGGTGCCAAGGGTGAGGGCAACGACTGGTCCAATGCCTTTCTGAATCACGTCACCCACACTCCTTCTGCCTAACAAGCTTCACCCTCCATTGGGCAAACAGACTTCTAACTGTGACTGGGGGTGTGGCTTTAAACTGGCTTGACCAGATTTCCCAGGAGTCGGTGTGTTTTTTTTCTTTGAAAGACATAACTGACACCAGTGGAGCAGAGGGAAAACTCGCACTGGCACATATTTGTGTTCCTGGGAGCTGCAATTCCCTCTGATGAATACCAAGGACTTCCTGAACGCTTCAACAGGTCCGGCTTAGATCCTACTGTACAAGTCCGTGGCCAGATAAAGTGTTGACAAAAAATCTGGGCAAATTGAAATGAAGCAATATTCAACCTTCCAGGGATTAAAAGCAATAACAGGTAAATTTTCTCTTTATTTGCTCAGTTTAGAAGGGAGAAACCATGATATCCGGATCCAGATCAAATATTCTTATATAACATTTTCAGCCCTCTCTAGGTCAATGGAAGATCTCAATTTGGAAAAGAAAAAGTATCATTATACACACACACACACACACACACACACACAAATATACATTATATATATACACATACATATATATATACATATATAGTAGTCAACATTCGAAGTGGATCAAAACCTTTCATCAAAGTTATACATGACTTTTGAACAATAGGACAACTTTGATGAACTTTTGACTACTTCAAATGTTGACTACTATATATAATATATATGATAATATTAAAAGATATATTGAATGTAATCTGAATGCAAATGTTAATTGCAATTGAATGAAAATGCATTATAGTGTAAATTTATATTAAATGCAATTAGTTGAATGTAAGAGTTTTTTTATTTTTTGACCCACTTAACTACATATATAAAGTTTATTAATTACATCTATTGTCTTTGAAATATGGAAAAATTGTTTTGCTGAAAGTTCTGATGAGCATTTATGGTAAACTGACATAAACTTTAATGTCATTTAACTTGCAATTTAGTACATTTAAAATACATTACCTTTAATTGTATTGTTGAATAAAACACTAGTTAAAATTATAATTAAATATTCTATTATTCGGTGAAGGCTAAATTATACACAATTTTGTTCGTGGGAAATAAAGGTGGATAGCTTCAATATATGCATCTATACAGACTTTGAATTCAAAAAATAAACCTATACCTGGAGATATGTTCCTGGAAAAACAAACGTCTGACAACTACAGTAGTCTTGGTCTTTCATTATATTATAATATTCATTATTGATTTCCAAAAAGGAGAGGTTAGACCAGAGTGGGAACGTATATCAACATATCAGCTTGTATAACATAAACTGTTCTTATAGAAAGCAAAGAGACTCTAATAAACAAATAAAGAGGCACCTTTGATCCAATACAGAAAATTCAGTAAACAATCATAAGCTGAAGACTGGATTAGAGAATGTTGTGCAATGCATTCGTACGTTCTGAGCAGTAGAATTAATGTGTGTAGAATTGCAGAACCTGCAGAAAACAAAAGCCACTCTTATATTCATAAGCTTTCTCCCTAAGGAGCTTGGGTGGGCTGTTCTCACACACGCACTGCAGTCTGTCCTGTGTGAAATCCCTAGTAACCGGATAGTCAGTGATTTGGAGTGCTCCGTTTTTACTCTCCTCAGACAAGTTCGGTATACCCACCCCTTGGCATTATGCTCACTTTCCAAAACCACAGTCCAGCAGGCTAGAGCAAGGATAAAAACATCAGCAGGCAAAATCCAAGTCAGTGAGTTATTTAGAAGCAAACTCCTGTGAATGCTCATATATCATGTTCTGTACAGTGTCAGAACAGACATTATAAATTACAGTGATCGTGATGAATGTGCAGCGGTGATATGTGGACTGGGAAAACTGCACAAGTTTGGAATCAAGGCCTTCGTTTAATCCTTCCTTTGACACGAGAGCTGCAGCTGAAGGCACAATGCATGGAAAAGCATCTGACAAAAATGTGACCTTTACTTACGGCAAATATAGTTTTTATAATATAGAAACTTAGTGCCAACAGGATGTCTGTTATTTGACTAGAAAAACACATGGTCGCACACCAGTGTTGTTATTAACCAAAACTAAATCTATATTAAAAATCGCGTTCATTAATTGAAATAAAGCTAAAATAAGATAAAATATACATATTCAATCAAAGCTTAAAGCGTAAACGGAATTTAGAAATTGAAGTACTAAAATTACAAACTAAAACTGAAATGAGAATAAAGCTAAATGGAAATATTTAAAAAATGCTTACAAAAATGACTGAAGCACAACAAAATCAAAAGTGAAAATATAAAAATAAAAAAGCTTATTCAAAATATTAATAAATATTATAATAGTAGGCTATATACATAAATGTTAGTACTAATAAATAAGTTAACACGGTCACACACAAAGATAAATAATTTCTAAATATTTGTATAATTCATAAAGTAAAAACTGCAAAAATAAAGTAAAAATTGCAGTATACAAAAAAATCATCAAGGAATACTTCTGTCATTATTTTTTTCACCCTAATGTTGTACGGAGCCCTAAGGGGACACGGTCATGTAAAAAATTAGATCAAAAATTAATATTTTATATAAATAAAATGAAATATAATATAAACTAAAAATATTTTCTCTACAAAATAAGTATATTTTGAGTTTGCTTATTGGGTAACAAAAAACTTTTACGAGGCTATAAACTTTTAAAAAGGTTTTGTTTTTTAAGTACATTTTAAATCATAATGTTTTAATGTTGTTTTGTTGTTTATTGACAAAGTGACTCAATATGCCTTCTGTGGATATTTACAGGGTATGTGAAGCAGAGGAAAAGTTTACACACATTCAACACTCAAATCTAAGAGCATATCTGACCTGCTCCCCATCAAGGTCAGTCATGAAGGACCGCATGGAGGAGTTGCGTCAGCGGATGAAGGCCAGCGATAAGATGCTGGACAACAACGCCTTCAACACGGAGGAGGACATGGACCCGTCCTCGCTGATAGGCCTGCAGGCCGTGATCTTTGAGGAGGAGCCCGTCCTGGAACACTTCCTTAAGGAGGCGCAGAACATCCGTGACAGCATTGAGGAGCTGAACTCTGAAGTCAATAAGTTCGGCCAGCAGCAGAGAAACTTTATGGCCACCATCAGGCGCCTCAGCATCATGAAAAAGGAGAGTAGCATGACGCGAGACATCAAGCTGTTGGCCGAGAGCCTAAATAAAAAACTAGATGCTTTTTCCAAGCAGGCCAAGCGAACCGAGGCTGAGCTGGGCCCGGACGACGCCACGTCCCGTATCCAGAAGGCCCAACACGCGGCCCTTTTCCGCCAGTTCCAGCAAGTAATGCGACAACACAATGACGCGATCCTGGCCAAGCAGGACAAATGCAAGCAGTTTATCATCCGGCAGCTGGAGGTTTCGGGTCGTGAGGTGTCCGAAGAGGAGGTGGATAACATGATCGAGCAGGGCAAGTGGGAGATCTTCAATGAGAACATCTTAGTCGATGCAAAGATCACCCGTGCCCAGCTCTCAGAGATAGAGCAACGCCACAAAGAGCTCCTGAACCTGGAAAGCAACATGAAGGACCTGAGAGATCTCTTTCTAGATGTGTTCATGCTGGTGGAAGAGCAAGGGCACCAGATCGAGAACATACAAGCCAATGTGGAGAAGACACAAGACTACGTATCAGACTCAAAGGAGAAGTTCTCAACGGCTGCCAGATACAAGAAGAAGAACCCTCTCAGAAGACTGTGCTGTTGCTGCTGTCCTTGTTTCAGATAGCGGCTGGCAAAATAAACAGTGCCAAAGTTTCTCATTTACTGTGCTCTCAAGGGAAGAACTGGGGTCTGAATGCAATGGCAGACATTGACCTCTGTCGGATGAAAATAAAAAAGCAAAGGCACAAAGCACTTTTAGACTACATTTAAAAAAGGAAGGCTCCGTAGCGATGAAGACTTAGCTGGGGTGTTGACATGCAATACGAGTGGTTATATAAAGATTTCACAAGATGTCTTGTTATATCACATTATGTAAGGTGTAGTCAAGGATACATTTATTTTGTATTTTATTATTGTGGAAAAAGCCACACAGTATTATTGTTTATAGGTCATTTGTATGCTTTAGATTGATCAAATATCTACCTAGCTAACATTATATAAGACTAGCAAACTTGTCCTATATTCTTCAAACAATACTGAAAGATTTCTGCAAGTCGACGTCTAAAGTTGCAGTCACATTTATCGTTGTCCGTTGAGCTAAATAAGGTAATCCCAGTAGGAATGTCCACGCGATCTGAAATTTTAGCATGACACCAAAAGATTTCCTCATGCAAATTACGCAGAAAGCTTGGTTTGAAAGTAACTTCTGTGTGAGATGTGCTTCATACATCATTACACTTTTGACAAGACAAAGTTTTGCCCATGAAATTACGCTAATGTGATGTGACTGCACCTTTCCTGGACACACAATTTTTTAAAAACTATATTTCAAATAATGTATTACATGAATGTATTTTGAGATGGTTCTTTGAAAAATAAGAATAAAATACAAGATGCCGTTTTGAAATATCTATGAAATGTGATACCACGCACAGTCTAATATTTGCTCATTAGCCGTTGCTGATTAGAATGAAACTGGTTGGGCTCATGATGAGGTGAATAATGAAGACATGTTGGTGAGTCAACAGAGCAGGTATCAGGTGTCGGTACAATTTCTAGTATCTGGGTGTGTCTACATTTTCAGAGGATAACGTGTTGCACAGAAATTGAAGGAGAAGAACATTATTTATAAATGCAATAGAAGCAGAACATGCCACCGTGTTTACTCAGAGAAATATGAAAACGTTCACATTCCTTTTCACTAATGAATTTGCATGGCTCTTTCTTACCTTTTTAATTTTATAGCTATTTTTATTGAACGCACAAAGAGCTATTTCTATCTGATGAAATATTACTAATCGTGCTCAGTTCTGTAATATTTATGATTCCAGAAATCCCAGAATGTTTTTGATGATTGCATATTTGAAGATAATGACATTTGAAGTTACCATGAAATTTTCCCTATTCAATCCCAATATTCAAATTTTTCAAATAAGTAAATAAATGTGTCAATATTCCAAAAACATACATCTGAATATTGGTAAAACTTGAACATGATTCTGGTTTTCTTACTATGAATAATTCTTTTTCAAAAATGCATTATTTTATTTCATTTAATTTCAAGTTGCATACAAAGAGAATGTATGGTACGAGTTAAAGGGACACAAATTGGATACAGTCATAGTAGGATGTCCTTACAGGAACATAAAGGTAGGGTAAGCAAGGTGTTTCACAAACACTTTTTGTTATACTGGAGGAAACTCTCTCCACATCCTGATAGCAATCAAAAATAGAAGTGGTCTAAATATTTAAAAAATGTACATCTTCTGTGGACGTCTTAAGACCAAAAAATGTTTTGTCCAATTACTGCATTCGGTCTGAATACAATGATAAGATGTCCTACCTCCCTGTCAACGTATGTATTTGCATACCTCCTCACACCTGCTCGCGCAGACGTCACACGTCCCATGAGGCTATGCAGAGTTGTAGACAGTCATCGAGCGGCACAAACAAACAGCAGCCACCTTTTACAGTTCCTCCTGAACCAAGACAACAAGCTTATGCTGCATTCACACCATGTCGCAATTACCGTAATTAAGAGATGGCAACCCGTTACCTTCTTCTTTATTATGTTTGTGGCCAGTTGATAATACCTAGAATATCAAAATCGACTGCTGGCGGTAGATCATTTTCCTTCTATTTAGTACCAAAACTTTGGAACAGTCTTCCTAACATTAGCTATGTTTCCATCCACACGTTTTTATCCGAATTAAGTGATATCGAATGAAAAATGCCTTATGGAAACAGTAAAATTCGATTGAATTTCATGAATATCGACTCAAATGAAATACGTTCGGTCTCATCGGATTTTATCTTGATCGATATACGGCTTATGCGATAAACGCTGATGGAAACGTTATTTGCCGAATAAATAATGAATTGCGATTAAGTTTTAGTTCCTTGGTTGCAACACGCCACAAAACAAAGAAGAAGAAGTTTTAGTTCATTTCCGCCCAGTATTTCCGCTCTGTTTGCGCACACATGGCGGGTGTCAACAAAGACAGATGTAAGTGGACAAAGCAAAAAAATGCTTCAACCAAAGGGTTTCCGTGAAGTGTCTCTGAACCACGATCTCCCAGAACTGTTTGGAGCGCTGTCGCTCCCACACCACAGGCCGTCTCCATTGTCGTCGGGCTTTTACGTGCGTCTGCATCATCTTAGCAATGTGTTGATTGCGTCGTTGTTTTCTTATTATAGCTTGTTATTACATGGCTTGGTTGAATTCTAATGCAGAATGCGGTCTGTTATTTCTTGATAACACACCGCTGCTAAGCATAACACACCGTTGCCATGAAAAACAGAGCGTTGCCATGGACGCAGTTCAGAGACCGAACGGACTATTCTCTTTAGCGGAATACAATCGTTTTTTAAATTAATAAACTCCTTTTTAAATCAATATTTTGTGTCAAATTATTGATTTATTTGGTAGGTAGCCATGTAATAAGCAGGATAATGTATAGCGAGGTAGTTGTTATAGCGAATACAACCCCTTCAGGCTAACAACCACCTCGCATATACATTATGGTAAATGGTAAATGGACTGCATTTATATAGCGCTTTCACAGACCCAATGGCCACCAAAGTGCTTTACAATTTGCCTCTCATTCACCCATTCACTCATTCACCTACGGCGGTGTCAGCCATACAAGGCGCCATCCAGCTCGTCAGGAGCAGCTGGGGTTAGACGTCTTTCTCATGGACACCTCAACACTTGGTCAGGTAGAACCGAGGATTGAACCACCAACCTTCCAGTTTGTAAACAACCTACATGAACCACTGAGCCACTGCCGCCCCATTATCCCTTACATATGTCGCTATCAGCTGGCACATAAGCACTATTAGGCTACAACTTGTGCGATATTGATCATTTGTTGGTAGATGGCGCGATCCCTTTTTCTCTAGCAAAACTTTGTTCGCAAATGTTTGCTTGAATGTTGTGCGATTCAGTGCGAAAATGAATGGAAACACCTTAAAATGTCTCAAATCAATTCGATATAGCAATTTGATTGCAAAACAGCATGTGACGTCATTACGTACAGGTTTTTATTCGATTTAAAGCCGTTGGATGGAAACACACTTTCACCAGCTTTATTCGCTTTAGTTTTTTTTTCCGAACTTCAGATAATTCGATTGACAAGTGGATGGAAACTTGGCTATTGTCCGGGAAGCAGACACACTCTTTCAGTTTAAATCTAGACTAAAAACACATCTCTTTTACCTGGCATTCACATAGAACATTATTTCTATTATTCAAATCAGTTAAATGATTATTAGGCTGCATAGATTAGGTCAGCCGGAACCGGGGACACTTCCTACAACACCCGATGTACTCGTTACATCATAAGAAGAATGGCATCTACGCTAATGTTAGTCTTTCCATTTATTCCGAGGTTTACTGAAGTCAGCCGGATCCGGGCCGTATCCAGATCAGACGGTGAACCTGCGCCTGGACACGACCACAACGCATCCCTGAAGTGCCAGCCTCATCAGCCCTGTGAAGGCCTCACGGACACCTCAACAAACTCGTCTCCATACCGCCGTGATGACTCCGACCTCCAACCAGATGGAACTGGATAAATATTGTGAATGTTCTGATCCAATCTGACTTCTGACCTGTAATGTTGCCAAATTAATCATACACTGTTCGCTCGTTGGCCAGAGGAGAACTGAGTCTGGGTTCTCCCAAGGTTTTTTTCTCCATTCTGTCACCTGATGGAGTTTTGGTTCCTTGCCACTGTTGCCTTGGCTTTTGGCTTGCTTAGTTGGGGACATTTAATATTCAACAATATTATTAATCTGCCTTACTTCAGGTGGACGATGACGCAATTTTCTTCTAGAAACAAACTTTGTTGTATTATTTTCATGTTATCACTGTGAAGCTGCTTTGATACAATCTGTATTGTTAACAGCGCTATATAAATAAAGGTGACCTGATTTCTCTGAGTTGTTCATGTCCTCTGAATTATGCGCTTTTATGCCAACATTATCAGCGCCAAAATGAATATGCAGCTGTCAGGTCCAAATCCGAGCTTTGTGGTATGTGTCAGGAGTTAGAAAGCAGCAATAAAGCACACAAGACAAGACTTGTTTACTCATCACTTCCGTTCTCGCACACCTTACGGCATTACACAACACTTCAGGTACAGCATCAACAGTTCTGACTTCCTTTTCAAAATAGGAGTCCACAATACAATTCACTTATGAACTTTCTGTGAATCTCATGCATGGGGTTCCGTACCCTCACTTTATCCTCCTCCTGGAAACAAGGAGTGCGAGCACCCCGCATAGTATCATCAGTGTACTTTTTCATTTTGTGCTATAGCAACGTAACCCTTTGGCGAACAGTCAGTTGGTGAGTACATAGGAGCAGACGGCAAAATAGACTGCTTTGTGCGCCTGCCATTGAGGAGCTGAAAGGGTGAAGTACCAGTTGCAGCATGTGGAGTGGCACAGTACACCTGTAAGAAGTCAGTTACCACAGGTTTCTATAGCTGATGTTGCTGGATGGCCATTTGGACAGTGTGTTTGAGCACATGGTTAACCTCTCTACAGCACCATTAGCTGCCAGGTAGCAGAGAGAGGAATGATGGGGACGAATATTCCTTCCTTCTAGAAAAGCACCAGACAAAAACTGAACACCGTCATCAGTAACAATACTCAAAGGATTTCCATGCCAGCTGAAGACTGATGACAGAAACGAAACCACAGAATCCATAGTGACAGTGGCCCTCATTTATCAAAAGTGCGTACACCAAATTTCCAGCGTACACCCGGCGTACACCCAAAACCACGGTGACTTTGAGATTTATCAATATGAACGTTGGCGTACGGCACGCTCAAATCCTACGCCAGCTCAGGAGGTGGTGTATATGTACGCACGTTTTGAGTTAGTGTGGAAATGCGCAGAAAAACAATTCCTAACACCACAAACTCAAACTGACATAACTAAAAGATATGATATATTGATATATGACCAACAACAACAACAACAGTAATTATAAACTTCAGTGTTTATTTTTGTGCAACATGGACTTCAATGTTTAATTTGTGTGACTTTACCAAAGCATTTGATTTATAAGCATATGTATTCCTTCAGTTGCGAGCCTGTGCGCTTTACCCTGACGTTTCATGGTTAGGCCCGGCAGGTGCGCACGGACTGGGTTCGGTAACGAAAGGCTTTCAATGACCAAAAAATAATTCAGACTGACAAAATAATAAAAAAAACATTCTTCTTCTTTTAAATAATAATAATAATACAAATAATAATAATGACATTCTTCTTCTAAATAACAATAAGCGTCATTAATAATACAAAGCATACTAATAATACTAAGAATAATATTACAAATTGTCATGCAATTATTAATGTGAATGAATGGTACTCCACATCACATCATCATCATCACTATTGTACACCCCATAC